ATGGGGCAGCCATCCACCTGCAGAACTATGTGCCCAGGTTTCCTTGGGGCTGCATGTCTCACTGGAGTCTCTGTGTGTGAGGAAGATAAAAAGTGGATAAAAACTGTGGTAGGAAATAAAAAGACCCCGCTGACTAACAAAACAAACGGCTGCTCCTAATCCAGAAAGACACCTGCAGCTCCTCCCTCCTGCAGGGGCCATGATCCATCTCCCCCAGTGTTCTGGGTCAGCCTTGCTGGGATGCCGGTGCCTCCATTGGGAAACCAGTGATGGATCCTCCCCCTCCTGGAATGATGCCGATGGTACCTGCTCCTAAAATGAGACCACCCATGGGAGAACATATGGCAAGGAGGCCTTCTGCTTGCCCCATGGCAGTGGTCAGCGACAGATAAGGACACAGGGCCCTTTTACTGTTTGGTGTTGTTTGTTCCATCACTAGAGACCTTAGTAAGGAGAAAGACCCTCTCCCTTTCGTGGTAAAGACTGTTCCTGGGACGCAAGTTTCATTTATATTGTGGAATGTGAAAATGAAATTGTCGGCTCTTTTAGTTTAAAAACAGAGCAAAGATGGAGCCATGGAGATGGCTCAGTGGGTAAGGATACTTGCCACCCAAGCCTGGTGACCTGAGTTCAAACCTCAGAAGGAGAGAACCAACCCGAAAAAATTGTCCTCTGATCATGACACACATACTGTGGTGCTTACACACATGGTTAACAAAAACAACCGACTTGGAATTCCCCCCCTCAAGACAGGGTTTCTCTGTGTACCCCTGGCTGTCCTGAACTCGATTTGTAGACCAGGCTGGCCTTGAACTCACAGAGATCCACCTGCCTCTCTGCCTCCCTGAGTGCACCACTGCATACGGCTCCAACTTGGAATTCTTTCTAGAAAGTCCCCTTCTTGGACAAATCACAGCTGATGGTGGTTTAAATAGGAATGGCCCCATAGACTCATGTGTTTGGATGCTTGGCCCATAGTGAGTGGCACTGTTGGAGTAGGTGTGGCCTTGTTGGAGGAATTGTCACTGTGGAGTTGGGCTTTGGGGTCTCCTGTGTTCAGGCTCTGCCCGGTGACAGTTTTCTTCCACTGCCTGCCATCAAAATGTAGAATTCTTGAGAATCCTTGGCTCCTGCAGCACCATGTCTGCCTTCTCACTGCCATGTTTCCTTCCCACCATTTCGATAAAAGCTGCCTTGGTCGTGGTGTCTCTTCACAGCAATAAAACCCTAACTAAGATGCAGCTAATGACATAATTAATCTTTTATTGGCCCCAGGGCAGAGGGTGTCTGAGTGCTTGTATATAAAGTGGCTGGGATACTCAGTCCTGCCTCTGTCGGGGCTGAGATCCCTGGGTCCACCCGTCCTGCTTACAGCCTGGAAAGCCTTGCTGTAACTTCCCCCGCAGCCCACTACCAGAGCTACCTGGCCTCCAGACACACAGTGAGAGGAGTTTCAAATGTACTGCCCTGTCCTTTCCACACTCTGCAGCCACATGAGTCTTTGCGGTTCTTTTGCCCCTAAACTCTTTCTGCTGTCACTCTTCAGGTCCCTGTCCTGCCCCCCCCCCCTTTTGTCAGGCAACCTCGAGTCTCTCTTTTTTTGAGACAGGGTATCACTATGTATTTGTGTTTGTGTTGGCATTAAGGGTATGTGCCGCCAACCCCTAACTCTTTGGCTCTCCTTTTCTTTGGGTCCTCTTTAATGGAGCCCTCTGAGCCTGCCTGCTTCGCACAGCCTGTGCTTGTTCACCGGGCCCCTCCTCCTGAGCTTCAGGGAGCCAAGGCTTTGTTGTTTGGCCCTGTGTCTAGCATGGGTGGTGCCTGTGGCTTGCTGCCTGAGCTCACAGGACGCCAGTGAAACCCTAATGACATGGTGGAGAGAGTTTTGATGTTTGCTTCAGATTCAGAATGTCACCTCCTGACCTGTTGGTGTATTCTAGAAACTGTGAAGAGGAAGTGAGAGCTAGGAGGAAGCTCTCCTCCCCTCTGCTATGGTGACTGGATTCAGCATGTTATGTAAGACAGGCCTTGGTTTGGGGCCAGGAGGGTTAGAAGTGCGTGGAGTTTTGGCTTGGACTCTGTCTACCCTTTTGTGGTTCAGAAGGTGTTCTGCTGGAAGCAGGGCTGTGTCAGAGCGCCCTCCCCCTCCTGGATCCCCACTAGTGTTTGGCTGGTGCGGGGAGTTGGGAGGGAGCAGAGGAAATGGGGACCCTGAGCCCAGGAGTCTCATATTTCATCAGCCAAGAAGGAAGGACAGATCCTGAATAGGCTTTTGACAGACTGGAAGAATGACACAGCATATTATAGCCTTGCCTCTCAGCAAGGGGACAATGCAGGGAGTGCCCTGGCAGGGCGTCTGCCAACTTCGCCCGCAAGGGTAAACTCGACTCTGATGAGGAGGAAAGCTGAGAAGCCGGGTCATTGGTCTAAGATCTTTAGTCTAGAGGAGTGTCAAGAAACATCTGTGGCCAGGTCCCGGCTAGGAACCGCACACAGCCCCGAGAGGTACTGTGGCAGATATTTGAGATTGATTCCCCCAGTTTCCCGGGGGAGGGCTGGACTCCAGTCCACATCTGCCTCAGTTTGAAGTTGGTGCCTCCCAACATTCAGAATAAAGAACGGTGGGGCTGTGAGTAAAACACAAAGCCGGCGCCTGGGTTTTTGCTTGTTTTTGATTATGGCTTTGTGAGACTGGATTTTGCTAAGTGCTGCATGCTGGTCTGCAGGCAGTCCTCCTGCCTCTCAGCCTTCTAAGTGCTGGGGTTATGGGGCTCCATGCTTAGCCTGAAGGAGCACTTTAGGGGATGAGTATTCTAACCGGGAGGCAGACCTGCGCTGTGGCCTTGGCACCCCAAAGCTTGGATTCAAGTCCTGGCTCTTGCCACTGCTGTGTGAATGTGAACCCATGGCTAGCCTTCGCCCTGCCCCAGGGCCCTCCTGTGTATGGTGAGGCGGATGACCTAGTGCTTCTGCTGACAGCTGCTCCTGCAAATGCAGGTCGTGGGGTGTAGACAAGGAGCAGGGGACAGTAGGAGGCTGTTGGGTCTGGGGGTTACACAGTCAGTGAGGACAGAACACCACCAAAATCTGAAGTTAACCGCTGAGGGAAGCTTCTAACCAAGTAGGACGACAGGAGCTGACTGCAGCCACAATGGAAAGGAGCAGGCTCCTTTTAAAGGAAAAAACTGTGAGCAGATGCCCTTGCATACGGGGCTTGCTCAGGATGTGATTGTCCCAAGACAATCAGACCAGGTGCACGCTGATTTCTGATACCATAGGAGCATGGAAAAGGAAGCTTTGCAAGGGAGTTTTTGGAGTTTGTGTTCCCGGGGTGTATGGGAACAGATGTACATCTGCCTGAGTGAGTTTGTGAAAGCAGAGTGGAGCAGAGTAGGGAGTGCAGGAACAATTTAAGCAGGGCTTGGGGCCTGGGGACACAGGCACATGGAAGTGTGCCAGGGCTCCCGGCCTGGAAATACCTCAGGCCCTTCAGAGACCAAGCAACTTCTTGCCCTGTAGCCTGGCCCTCCAGTGTCCTCTCTTTTTTGCCATCTAGGGATCTCTGAGCCTCTGACTCTCTCCACCCCCATCCCCATGTCCTCTTCTGCATTACCTCAGGTTTCCAACTTCCTCTTGCTTCACATGAACCAGAAAGAGGAGGGAGAAGGTGCACTGTGTCCAGGGTCCCAACCTGGCACAGCATGGGTGGCCTGGAACCCAGCTTGGGAATATTAAGGTTTCAAGTCTGAGCCTCACACCCAAGTCCCTCATTAGAAATGACATAGGTCTAGGATTAAAGGGACAAAGTGGTTAAAGATGACTGTCAGTGGATATGAAACCACACACGCCTAGCTTGACAGTCTGGTCCATGTTTACACGTATCTTGCCAGATGTGAGCAGTGAGCAGCTGTGCGCCGCAGGGAGAGCAACATGTTAATGGTGTAGAAAATTCAGCCTCCTGGAACTCAGTCACTGCCCACTGCAGTCAACACGGGCACCTGCCCCAGGGCAGGCTGGTGCCAGGGCATGCCGCCATAGGATGGAGAACTGCAATGGAGGTGAAGAAGGTGGAGAAGCCTTGAATTACACAAGCCCCTGACCCTGGGGACAAAGCCAGGAACAGAAATGTCCAAGTGTTCAGTGCAAATTCTGCCTCTAGCATATGACCCTGATCACTGAACGGGGCTATTGTCCCCACCCCGGGACAGAGCCTGACCTGGAAGCCAGTGCTCGTGTTTGCTGCAGGGATGAGTGGATGTGCTGAGAAGGATTACCTGTTCCTTGTGCAGTCTAGAGCAAAGATGGCTAGCTGGATATGATGGTGCATGCCTTTAATCCCAGCACTCATGAGGGGCAGGCGGGGCCAGCCTGGTCTACGTAACAACCAGTGCCACATGGAGAGACCCTGTCTCAAAACAACAACAAAAAAGATAGCTTTAAGCGTTTTCTTGTTCTCCCAAAGAGAGCGAGAACCCCACCTGTGAGTCTAGACTGGGTCTGTGACACATTCTGACCTATAGAATGCAGCAGTGGAGACATCAGCTTCTGAAGCTAGGCCAGGGCAAACCTTTTAGCTTCCTTCTGGCTCTGCGATGCGTCAGAAAGCCAGGTAGCCACATGGTGCTGGATGAGTGAGGGAACCACCTTGTTCATCCTGCCCAGGTGACCCCTGGATTGCAGTCCTAGGAGGAGCCCAAGCCATGGGCACAGCTCTTAAGAAATTGTTAAGCCTCTGTGTTTGGGGGTGTTTGTTACACAGCACTAGATGACTGACAAAGAAACCAACTCACTAGGAGGTCAGACGGCTTACCCAGGTCACGTGGCCCATGGGCCCTCTCCCTTGGCTGTTTCTAGACTTGTGCTTTTAACCTGGAACGCGCAGCCCTCTAGCGCTGATCTCTTTCTCCCAGTTTGCTCTGTGTTCTTCTGTTTTTTACCTTATGGATTGGTCAGTAGAGCTGAAAGCTGGACCTGAGGACATGTTTTCATTCTTGTTGCAGATCTTCATTAACAATGAGTGGCACGATGCTGTCAGCAAGAAAACATTCCCCACCGTCAACCCTTCCACGGGAGAGGTCATCTGCCAGGTAGCAGAAGGGAACAAGGTGAGACCTGGTGACTTAGGTTGGTGTAGATTGGCCTTTGTTTGTTTCTTGGGTAGGGTCTCATCCTGTAGCCCACGCTGGCCAGCAACTTGCCAAATCAGTCCTCCCTCGCTGTGCCCTGAGTGCAGGGATTATAGGCATGTGCTACCCTATGGCTGGGACATGACCACTTACGTGTTTCACTTTCCTAACTTAAAACCACCGATCAGACATTTGAGGTGTGAATCCACAGCAGGCTCCGTTACACTGGGGTGCTGGATGGAGGCTGAGCTTTCTAATTCCTGCTGTGTGGATTGGGAGGTAAATCTGGGGAATGCCGAGCCACTGTCTCCTTTTTAGACCTGGGGTGGAAGGACAGGAAGGCAGGTAGATTGGAAGCCATAAAGTTTGGGTCTGCTGAGATAAGTGGTTCAGGTGTCATTGTTATATATATGGGGGGAAACTGAAAAATATAATGGAATTTTAAAAATGAGTCTCTAAGCTGGGCACAGCCAGCAGCACCTCTAATCTCAGCATTAGGGATGTGAAGCAGGAAGGTCATTCTTGGCTACATAGCAAGGTGTAGGCCAGCCTGGGCTACATGAGACTCCCTCTTGAACAAAACAAAAAATTAGACTATCTTTTCTATAAATTCAGCATTAGGCCCCGTCTGTTCCTGGCCTCTGTTTTAAGATGGTCCTTTCCTTCCTGCCCAGGCCTCCTTTGCTGAGAGCTACGGTGTTTTTCTGGCTTATGGGGTGTCCTTCTGGTAGATGTATTTATTCTAGATGAAAACCTTGTGACTTCCTCCTGGTTCACAGCCCCCTGTGCAGGATGTGCTGGGCTGCCCAGCTTCCAGGCCCTGTTGGAAAATTCCATCATCTCAGAAGGAACACTGCTTCCTTTGGCTGGACTTGGCTTCCTTGGTAGCATGGAAACAGGGTTTCTCCCTTTCTAAGGATTGACTCATGGGGGTCTCTCCTGCCCAGCACACCCACGAATGGGGTGTGTGTTTGCAGCTAAGTTTTGGAGCCCTGAAGGACCGTTTTAGGGAGATTTCCTGCGCTGGCCTGTACTGACTGGCTCTGGGTGATGGGCGGGGGGGGGGGGGCACAGCACTGGGAGGGCATTTGAGGCTGAGGTCTGAGCTCCCGGGGTGACTGTTTTACAGGAGGACGTGGACAAGGCGGTGAAGGCCGCTCGGGCAGCCTTCCAGCTGGGCTCACCCTGGCGCCGCATGGATGCATCCGACAGGGGCAGGCTGCTCTTCCGACTGGCCGATCTCATCGAGCGGGACCGGACCTACCTGGCTGTGAGTCCTTAGCCCTCCTGTCCTCACTGACCACAGCTGACACAAGGCTTACAGAATCCCGTGAACATCCAGGGGCCTTGCTGCTCATAGATGGTAATGGCGTCTGATGGACACTTTGGGGGTCTGTCTGTCACAACCAGCAGAGCCTCCCTGTCTGTCCTGATGCCATGGGTGTGGCCAAGATTGAAGATTTTGAGGAGAGGGGAAGGCCTTTCCTATTGATCCCCAGGGCTGATCACCTCCCCCGGGCACCTCTGCATGGTGGGCCAGGCCCTCACCCTGGGCACCCTGACAGGTAGCCACAGTTCCGTTCTTACAGCCTTGGGACAGGGATGAAGTCCTTGGCATGGCTGGCTCCACCGCCTAAGTTAGACCCCATGCTGGCCCAGACCCGCCTACTTTACCTTCCTTCCTTTATTTTTGTTTTTTGTTTTGTTTGTTTGTTTTTTTCAAGACACGGTTTCTCTGTATAGCTATGGCTGTCCTGGAACTCCCTCTATAGACCTGGCTGGGCCTCGAGCTCACAGAGATCTGTCTGCCTCTGCCTCCTCAGTGCTGGGGCTAAAGGTGTGCGCCATTGCAGAAGTTTTGGGGCGGGGGAGGAGTCCCGCTTGAGGTTTAATAGTGAAGACAGCTGGATTGTACAAGGCTGTTAGTCTGCTTTCTGGAACAGTCCCTCAGCTACCCATCTAGACCACCTGGCCTCCCTGCCCTGCTCCTGCCCTGTCCCTCGCTCCAGCTCCAGCCACCAGCACTTTTTTTTTTTTTAAATCAAAAGATGCATTCCTTCCTCATACACAAAAGCTGTTAGCATAGTGGGAGAAGTCCCAGAGTACTCACTCTGAACCAATCCTCTGCGGAACTACGCCCACTCTATATCTTACTTGTTGCCTTTTGGCCAGACCTAAGGCAACAAGACCTTCCAGGACCTCACCCGTGGCAGCTTGCTTTGTAACAAAGAATCCTCTTTTTTCAAAGGTGAGGAAGTGACAAACATTTATATATCCTGCTAGCACCTGGCACTGCCAGCACAGCCATTAACGATTGAGAATTTTGGGACACACTTTCATAGCCAGTTGATACAATATGTGTCGGGGTAGGTTACCCCAACAGGGCACCACCATCGCCTGGCTCCCCTTTTTGACAGCCAAGCTTCTTGGAGCCCAGGAACCTTTGTACACACTGTCCCCCTCCTGCCAGGGCTCATCACTTGCTCCACATGTGCCCAGGCTGGCCCCTGCCCATCCTGTAGGGTTAGTCTTAGTTGCAGTTTCTGAGGCGGAGCCTGGGAGGCTGCTTTTGTTCCTAGCACCTGTAACGTGTGGGAAGGATGATCCGTCTCGCCATGCTCCTTCCTCAGAAGCCACTCTTCTCATGTCTATATTGTAAACAGTTAGATCTGGTAGGGGACAGAACTTAAAAGTCTGTGAGCTAGGCGTGGTGGCACACGCCTGCAATCCCAGCACTGGGGGAGGCAGAGGCAGGCGGATCTCTTGTGAGTTCGAGGCCAGCCTGGTCTACAAAGCGAGTCCAGGGCAGTGAAGGCTACAAAGAGAAACCCTGCCTCTAAAAAGAGTATGTCTGTAAAGTGAGTGGAGCTGGCTCTGTGTGTCTTCTTCTCCTCTCCCTGCCTTGGGAGAGGCTGGGCCAGTGGTTTAAAAATGCCCCTGACATTCAGTGATCCCAGGGAGACTCACCCTGAGCCTCCACCCATCCTTGTCAGGTCAGGCCCCGATGTTGCTGGTCATCTTTCTGCTTCCTTTCATTCCTGCACCGACATGTCTCTTCTGACCTTGATCTCTCCTCAGGCCTTGGAGACCCTGGACAATGGCAAGCCCTATGTCATCTCCTACCTGGTGGATTTGGACATGGTGCTGAAATGTCTCCGGTATGGGCTTCTGTTCTTTGTTCTGGCCATTGTGAAAGGAGGAGAGTGATGTTGGGAAGTAGAAATGGAGTGAAAGGATGCTGAAGGCTCACAGGGACTGGAGCCTCCATTGAGGCTTCTTCTTGTGACAAAACCCCTCAGGGTCAAGCAACAGGCCTCTGAGATTTCTCTGTCTTGAGCTGTGTTTGGTAATTTCTGTGGTCCCTGGAACTGGGCATTTATCTAAAGGATCTGATGAGATAGTCTTCAGTTGTTCCTGGTTTCTGGCAGTCTTTTTTGCCCTCCTTTCGTGTCTGCCTTTAGTTACTTAGACTAAAGGCTCACTGGTTGTTTTGCACAGTCTCTTTTGATTTCCTGTTTCTTTCCTTCTGCTACTCCAAATTTAGTCTGATCACAAACATCTTAATGACCAAAGAGCAGGGGCTGATCACCCCTTGGGGTTTGCCCATTGTAGACAACAAGAGTCACGTCTCAAAGTGGAAGGTCTGAGTCTTAACCCTCACTCCCTTATTTCCTCTTCTCTTGCCACATGAGGCTTCTTCAGGGCTAGCCTTCATGTTGCCATCCCTTAGACCGAATGCCAGTGTGGTCAGACAGGCAGTGTGGACAGAATGTAGTGTAGACGGGATGTGGCAGAGGGCAGCAGGGCCTGAATGGCAGGAGTTTTCCCCCATATTGGTGGGGCTCACCCAAGGTCATCATGTCCCCAGGCTCATGTCTTGTCAGGACAGCAGGGGAAAGTGCCACTTACTCTGGTGCAGAGGGAGGAGCAGAGGGCACTGTTCCACATCCAGAGATTGGTAGAACAAGCCCCTACAACAAAGAATTTTCCAATCCAAAAATGTCAGGCGTGCCGAGGCCGAGAAACCCGAGTCCCAAACTGGTCAGCTTTGGCAGACCCTATTCACTTCAGGAATCTTCCTTCTACAAACCCTTGTACCTCATCCTTTGTCTTTCCTGCCCCTACTTCCCCAAAAACACAGCCATTACACCATGACCATATACTGGCTGTTCCCCAGCCACTATGCTTTTTTGTCACCCGTGTCCCATGATTCAGATAATGAGCTTCATAAGTCGAGGCCATTTGGAGACATGCTAGCCATTGGTGTGTCTGCCCTCCTCCACCAGGTCATACCCGTGATCCTCCAGCACTGGGCTGGCACAGCAGGCACATGTTAATAAATCCAGGTGCTTAGTTAAAAGACTGAGTCTCTAAAGAGGCATCCTGAATGGGTGGGAAGCAGCCCCGGCTGTGGACCTGGGATTGGCAGCAGCATCGAGAGTGATCCTGAGGAAGTTTATAATAGAGCGGGTACCCCCGTCCTGGCGGCCATCCGTGTCTTTCTGGGAATAAGCAAATGCTGGTGTTATCAGTGTGATCCGGGCATCTCTCCCTCTGCCAGGTGTTGCAGGCTAGACACTGACTAATGCTTGGATTTTTCTTCTTTTAGCTATTATGCTGGCTGGGCCGATAAATACCACGGGAAAACCATTCCTATAGATGGCGACTTCTTCAGCTACACCCGCCACGAGCCTGTGGGTGTGTGTGGACAGATCATTCCGGTGTGTGCCAGCCTCTCTGGAAGTCCTGGTGTTTGGGGGGACGGGGGTGTGAAATGTGGGGTCAGCCGTCCTCATTGCAAAGTGAGGGATTCTACTATTGGTGTCATCAGAGGGTGATGGGGTGACGGGTAACACACAGGCTTTGGCAGGTCTACCAGGGTGGGTTTAAGTCTGAGGCAACCAAGCAGTTTATCCCCTGTAAGCCCCAGTTCTTCATACGAACAGCAGCGGTCTGTTGGTTACAGGGCGGTAGTGATTAGGGACTCGTGTGATACCTAGTACCAAAGGTACTCATAAGTGTGGGCCACTGTCACTGTCCGCCACCTGCCTCAGCCAGCATCAGAATCCATGAGTGAGTCGCCGGGGCCCTCAGGAGTGGGCTTCCTGCCACCTGCTGTGTCTTGCTGAGGAGGACCTGTGGTTGGGTAACTCTTGTTTCCTGCAGTGGAACTTCCCGCTCCTGATGCAAGCGTGGAAGCTGGGCCCGGCCCTGGCAACTGGAAACGTGGTTGTGATGAAAGTCGCCGAGCAGACGCCGCTTACCGCACTCTACGTGGCCAACTTGATCAAGGAGGTGGGTGGCCTGCTCTGCCGTGGCCTCTAAATGTCCTGGCCAATGGCTTGCTTTGAGGGAGATCCGAGGAAAGGAAGGGCTTGGACTCCTTAGAGTGTGGCTGTAGAACTCAGTCCTCAGTACCTTACCCAGAGGGGTCCCTGCTACTGTCTCCCACACTGGGGCCTGGGGCCCGACACTCTGAAAGATGAAAGCCACTGTGCTAGAACTGTCGGCTCCAAGGCGGACCCCACAGCCAGGCTCCTCATCCCAACCACTTTTGGAAGTCCCTACAGGGTGGCTGATGCACTGCAGAGTGGCTTTTGCTCTGGTGTGTCTCCAGATCACTGTTGGGGGATGGTGTGCTTTCTTTGCCGAGGGCCTGGGGGCAGGAAGCTGACACTCCCACCTCTCCTGGCCCTCCCTGCAGGCAGGCTTCCCCCCTGGCGTGGTCAACATTGTTCCTGGGTTCGGCCCTACCGCCGGGGCCGCCATCGCTTCCCATGGGGACGTGGACAAAGTGGCCTTCACAGGTTCTACTGAGGTAAGGTGTCTCAGGAGGTCAGACCTGCAGCTTGGTGGTTCAGGCACCGCCCCCTCAGTGGCTGCTCCCTGCAAAGGCACCATCTTCTGTCCCAGAACACGCCTCCTAGTGACGCAAATGACAGCCCACGTATGTGTGCCAGACAGCAGAACAGCTATGTCCTCTGTGGTCTTGCCAGCTGCCCTGGATGCGGTTGGGGGGTTGGGGGGAGTGTGGCACTCCCATGGGGTAGGGTGGCTGGGACACGCTGGCTTCAGGAAGCCCAAGGCCTTGCGGTGATATCCCTGGGGGACCCACTGGACGTCCAGAGGCTCTGTGCATTCCCTTTGAGACTCTGATGGTACCTTTAACCCCAGCGCTTGGGCGGTGGAGGTAGGAGGATCAGGAACTCAAGGGAAGCTCAGCCACATAGTGAGTTTGACACTAGCCTCAGCTACATGAGACCCTGTCTCACAAAAAAAAAAAAAAACAAAAACAAAAAAAAAAAAAACAAGCCAGGCATGATGACACATGCCTTAGCCCAGCACTTAGGAGGCAGAAGCAGGTGGATTTCTGTGAGTTCAAGGCCAGCTTGGTCTACATAGGGAGACCCTCTCTCAAGATTTTTTTATGTATAGGAGTGCTCTATTTTCATGTATACCTGCAGGCCAGAAGAGGGCAACAGATCTCATTGTAGATGGTTGTGAACCACCAAGTGGTTGCTGGGAATTGAACTCAGGACCTCTGGAAGAGCAGCCAGTGCTCTTAAGCTCTGAGCCATCTCTCAAGGCCCTCTCAGAATTTTTTTTTTTTTCCCCAAAACAGCAACAGTAACGAAAACCAGAATGAGAGTGTTGGTACTGTGGAGATAGGATGGGCAGTACATAGGCTCCGGAGTTGTTCCTCTGAGCAGCATGGATTTGCTCTGCAACCTCGGTGTATTGTTCGTTCATTCATTCATGCATTCATTCATTCAGAGACAGGATCTCTACATAGCTCTGGCTATGTAGACCAGGCTGGTCTTGAACTCGGCCTCTGCCTTTTGAATACAGAGACTAAAAGGCCTGCCACCATGTCCAGCTTGTGTTAGTTTTCTTTTTGTTGTGTCCTGGTTCTAACAAGAGGCAAGTTAAAGGAAGGCTGGATGATGGCTCAGACTCTGTTATGGGGAAGCGGCCATGACAGCAGCTTGAGGGTGCTTGCTCACGTCTGGGCAGACCAGGGAAACAAGACAGGAAGTGGGGCTCAGCTATCACCTCCCCGAATGACCCACTTCCTCCATCTAGACCCCGATTCCTAAAGGTTCCATGACATCCCAAAACACTGCCACCAGCTAGGGGAACTAAATGTTCAAACGTCCAAGCCAGTGGGGGACATGTCACATTCCAACCATGACGCTTGGTGAGCCCACCTCCTTGAGCCTGTCTGTACGGTGTTGAGAACCGAGCCTGCTCACAGGTCCCAGCCAGGGTGTGTAAAGCTACAACTGCTTAGGAAGCCATGAGCGAATGAATGAATGAATAGGTCAGGGTGTGTACAGAGCTGCTCCATAGCAGGGACACATTTCTTTCTAAAGATGAGCGGGTCCCCACCCCCACACCTGAAATCCCAGCCTTCCAAGAGGGTACACTAGTTAGTGTAACAGAAATAATTTTTGAACAACTCAACTGGCAGGCCCTTCCGCACCCAGAAGGCCCTCAGGCAGAGGCATTGATGGGTCTCAGAGAGGGGCTGGCCTCCTTGCAGAGATGTGCCGGGCTCTGGGTACATTGTCCTTGCCCTCACAGAGTCCACAGCACACAGCTGGGGAGGGGCCACATCATAGTTTGACTGGTTCCTGCCTTCTCACCGACCGTCTAGTTCAATGGCCATGCGGCATGGGCACTTAGAGCCTTCGCCCTCTGAGGGCATCGGGAGTGTTGACTGCAGGCCTCAGCGCCAGGTACACGCAGTGTTAGTTATTGTCACCGACGTCTAGGGCTCGGTAGCGGCGATGGGAGGTGAACTCCTCGGGCTCCTTGGGACTTGGTGACACTGTGTGTGGAGAGGCGTTTAGCTTGCTTCCCCCGCTCACGGCAGTCTGTGTCCCCACAGGTTGGTCACCTGATCCAGGTTGCTGCAGGGAGCAGCAACCTCAAGAGAGTGACGCTAGAGCTCGGGGGCAAGAGCCCCAACATCATCCTGTCGGATGCTGACAGTAAGCTTCGGGGCTGCAGGGAAGGCCTCCGCCTCCAGCGTGATTGACCCCTCCCACCTTAGCCACTCATTCCCTTGTTAGAGCCAGCCCAGGCCCTGTGCTGTCCACCCTCTCCTGCCCTCTCTGAGGAACACTTCTTTCCCCCTCTCTCTCTTTCCCAGTTGCCAGTCTTCACAAAGGAAAGGAGGTTTCATTTCATTCTGGCCAGGCCCTGTCCATCCGTGTCCCCCCCACCCCCACCCCCAGCAGGCACTACCCCTGATAGTGTGAACGGGTTGTGGGGGCGAGCAGCCTCGTCTCATGTCACTTCTCTCCGCCATCCCCTCCCTGCAGTGGACTGGGCTGTGGAGCAGGCCCACTTTGCCCTGTTCTTCAACCAGGGCCAGTGCTGTTGCGCTGGCTCCCGGACCTTTGTCCATGAGGATGTGTACGATGAGTTCGTGGAACGCAGTGTTTCCAGGGCCAAGTCTCGGGTGGTCGGGAACCCCTTTGACAGCCAGACGGAGCAGGGGCCGCAGGTAAGCCTGGAGCTGCAGCTGGGCCTGAGTCCAAAGCCGGTGTGGCCGGAGTGGGTGGGGCTGGGTTCAAGGGTCTCCTCTGCCGTGTACCAGCTGTGTGTCCTGTTGGGGTAATGGAGAGACCCCAGCCCCTGTCTGAGCCCCACATTTTGGATGGTTCATGGACCTTGGCAGGGGAGTGGCCGCCATACCTGCTACTGAGCCATTCCCCTGAGTGCCCATGTTTTTTGTGTTTTCATTTTGTTAATCTCAGAGTTTAAAGGAAAAATATTGGGTATGGCGTGCCTTCCCTGGTGGTAAAGGATGTAGGGTCTCTCTTGGGCATTATGCTTCTGACCGTGGGCATTTACTCTTTGGATCTTGCTCCTTCAAGACCTTGGTCCCCTTCTGAGCTACCTCTGGCTATATAGGTTCTAAGCCCAAAGCCAAAGAGAGGGCTTCTCCCACAGGTGGATGAGACTCAGTTTAAGAAGATCCTCGGCTACATCAAGACAGGACAGCAGGAGGGGGCGAAGCTGCTGTGTGGCGGAGGCCCTGCCGCCGACCGTGGCTACTTCATCCAGCCCACCGTGTTTGGAGACGTGAAGGATGGCATGACCATTGCCAGGGAGGAGGTTAGCACCGCTGCCGTGTTCTGGCAGCTGCTCTTAGCAGGGGCCAGAAGTGGGTGGTTTGGTTTACTGTCTTGACTGTGTCCCAAACTCTGGTTTTGAGTCATCTCCATGCTTAGCATCACTCTCTCCTTAAACTCACTGGGGCTTCCCACCACTGGGAGACCATTAAATCCCTTCGCCTAGCCCACAGGCTTGTGATATCTTGATTTAGTTTCTGTCCCTACTCTGAGGTTCCTGGGCATTCCTCTCCTCCACTCTGTCCCCTGTCCCCTCTGGGCATCAGCTGTTTCTTTGTGGAGGCCTAGTTTCTCTCAGTGTGCAATAAGACTCCATTTCTCTCCTCTCCGTTTAATGAGACTGTCACTTCCCAGCGTCTTCCTCCCTGGCTCCCAATCAGGCCCCTCTGTTCCAGCTCGATGGATACGCTGGTTAGATGGTGGTCAGGCAGGCGGTCACACAATGGCCAGTCCCAGCCAATTCCCAGTAGTCTCTTGGGCAGATCTGAGGTAGTGGCACCAGCTGCGGCAGCCCAGCTTACACACAGGTCTTGGTTTCTGAATTTCATTCCCCATCAAAGGAGCTGGAGTTTCTTGAAGAAGTGATCTGACCTGTTCCAGAAACTTAGGGGAAGAGCAAGAGAAATCAGGCCGATTCACAGTCAAGTCTCAGCAGCAAGTCTGTGTAGAGGAATTTTAATTCAGAACGTGGCTGTTCTGGCAAGAAATCACATCCAAAGGCCTTCTAGGTCTGTGTGATCCAGCTGAAATACAGGAGGTAGAGGCAAGCAGATCTGAGTTCAAGGGCAGCCTGATATAGAGCAAATTTCAGGTAAAGAGAAGCTTATGTGCGGGTGTGGTGGAACATGCCTTTAATCCCCAAAAAATGAAGGTAAGGTTAGTTTGTAGAAGGAAGCACCCATGTTTGAAAGTGTTTATGAATTATGGCAGAAAAAGTGATGAATCAGAGAAAGACTTGACAGAATAGGATACACACAACTGTCACGAGAACAGAGAAGAAAGGAGAGCTACTTACCGGAGCTACTTAAGGAAAGAGGAGGCAATTTTACTGGAACAGGTTGCAGAGAGAGAGAACTCAGGTGAAGACCAAATGAGAAGGAGCCAGAAGATTAGAACAGATTGCTGGAGTTAGTTTAAGGCCAAGCAAGGCAATTCAGGGGCCAGAGAAGCCAGACTGAAGAAGTCAGCTGGGAGAAGAGTTTGAGCCAAATCAGCTAAATTGAACCAGCCAGCCCAGAGCTCAATGAGAACAAGAAAGGGTGAGCTTATTAAGCAGTAAGCCTCAGAGGCTGAAAACATCCTAGGACTAGGTTAGACTAGATAGAGGCTAGAAGCTTCCAGGACTAGGCCTAGGTTAGCAAACAGAGACTGTAAGCCTCCAAGACAACAATTGAAACAGGCAAATAAAAGTTCCTTTACAAGTCTATGCCTTGTACCTGGCTGGGTTAAAATAATGGGAACCGGTCTAATTCTCTGTGCTAAATTCATATACTAACATGTCCTGTGTGCTGTGGGACTGTTTAGAAATAACCCAGGAAGCGGCCAGCGCTTGTCTGTTTTTCTCCCTTTGTGTTTCATGAGCTTGGAGGCTGCTGGACGGGCTAGGTCAGGTCTCAGGCTCAACAGTGTCCACTGTCCTCTGCCACTTGTCAGTCCTGGAGGTGGGGAGCAGTCACCTCCCGCCTTCCAGCCTTCCTCCTCTGCCCTCTCCCTCCAGATCTTCGGTCCAGTGATGCAGATCCTCAAATTCAAGACCATAGAGGAGGTTGTGGGGAGAGCCAACGATTCCAAGTATGGGCTGGCAGCAGCTGTCTTCACAAAGGACCTGGATAAGGCTAATTACCTGTCCCAAGCCCTCCAGGCCGGCACTGTGTGGTAAGAGCTCTCAGTAGCCATTCTTCAACCCAGTAAAATATCACCAAAATGTCTGGAACCCCAGAGTTGCAGCACTAGACCAGGAGCTGTCCGTCATATCCTCTGCCAGTGAAAAGACACCCCCTACCTCCAGATCGGGTACCCATGAAGCTGGTGCCTGGCAACCTTCCCTAGCTGTGATGGCAGGCGCCCAGGCTGAGATCATATCTGGTTGCTGAGCACCTACTTCATCACCGTTAGGGAAAAACAAAACAAACAAACAAAAACAAAATAATGAAATGGAGAAGAGTGACGCTAGACCCTTATTAGCCAAGATGACTCGTTCGGGTTGGAAGCTGGCACATGGCGTGTTGTGTTGATGGCCCTCTGTGATCACATCTGCACGGACAAGGATGACAGACAGCAGTGTGTCTCCCGTGGCCTGCCCTGTCCATGCCTCTGTTTTCCATATAAGATTGTGGGGCCATATGGGGCCTGGCATGGCATGCAGTCCCTCACAGTGACCTCCGTGTTCTCCTCTCGGGTTACAGGATCAACTGCTATGATGTGTTTGGGGCCCAGTCCCCATTTGGTGGCTACAAGATGTCGGGGAGCGGCAGGGAGCTGGGCGAGTATGGCCTGCAGGCCTACACAGAAGTGAAGACAGTAAGTGCACGGCGTGTGGCCCCCCCATGGCCTGGCCTCTCCGGGCCAGGGGTCATCCATACTTGTTATTAGAAGACACCGAAGGGGTCAGATACAGTCTCTAGGGTCTTAGCCTGAATAGGCGCACGTGTTAATTTGCCACTGAGTTAGTTAGCCTGAGAGAAGGCAGGACCCCAGTGGGTGGAGATGCTTCCAGTAAGGAGTGTGAGCAGACACAACTGCCAAGCCACCCTTGTACTGTTCAGCTCACAGGAACATAGCCCAGGCCCACCAGAAGCACAGAGAGAATGGCAGTGCTGTTGGACACAGGTTCTCCAAAAAAAAAGAAAGAAAGAAAGAAAAAGAAGTCAGGTGTGGCCTAAAAATACCCAATGGGTTAGCATCTCCAACCATGGAGTACAGATTCCCCTTAAAAATGGCTTGTCACACAGTTGATGTGGGAAATGATCGCCTTTTAACCTAAAGAAGGTGGATGCAGGCTGGAGAGATGGCTCAGTGGTTAATTGCCCTGGCTGCTCTTCCAGAGGTCCTGAGTTCAATTCCCACAACCACATGGCTGCCATGTATCTGATGCCCTCTTCAGGTGTGCAAGCACTCATGCAAATAGAGCACTCAGATGCATAAATAAATAAATCTTTAAAAAATAAGTTAAAAAAAAAGTGGATGTAAAATAAAGTAAATGCAGAAAGAGCCAGGTGTGGGCCATCGGCCCTGTCCCCGCTGTGACTCCTGTGGCTGCAGCCTTGGCCTCTTCCTCAGCATTCCCTGGGGGCCCTTTGTGGGGGCCTGGACAGTGCTGGACGTGTGCAGCACCAGGAGCTGCTGACAGATGATGTCCCCAAACCCCTGGAAAGGGCCTCTAGACACTGGCAGCTGTCTCCTGGGACCTGGGGTGAGAATCTAAGACCAGGCCAGGGTGTGATCTCCCACAGAAGCCAGCCTGCTGCCAAGGCCATGAGGAAAGGAAGAGAGGGGCTTTTGTCTCCAAGGGAACCTGCTGCCACTTGCCAAGTGTGAAAATAACTGCTTCTCTGAAACCCTTCACAGGTCACCGTCAAAGTACCACAGAAGAACTCGTAAAAGCCAGCACCCGGAATCCCAACAAGACCCTGAGAAAAACCACCAGGCACACTGCGCCTCCAAAGAGACACCCCTCTACCTAAGTGTCTTGGACCAAGAGAGTCAAGACTTGATAAACAGAGCAGGCTGGTGGGCGGGTGGTGTGTGGGGAAAGGTCCTAATAAACCCGGCAGGGGTGGGGCCAGGGCAGAACACTGGCCCAGCCTGTGCAAGCTGCTGGGTTCCATCCTCCATGCTTAAGCAAAAGAGCAATAAAAAAAAACCCTGATCAAAGCCACAGGCTCAGTTCTCTAAGAAATAGATTCTGAATCTTATCTCTGCTGTAACTCCCCACTGGGGGAGGGAAAAGGGCCGTGGTTGGAACTGAATTAGCTCTGGGACACTAGCACCTTGCTGTTTCCCAGACCAAAAGCGATTAAAGGCAGGAGGACCCCTCTCAACTCCTGGGTGCCTGCCTCTCTGGTCACCAGCCCAGGGGTGTGCCTGGTCCCCAGCTGGAGTGTCCCCGCTGTTTGCTGGTGTCACGGAGTGTTACAGCCCTCCCTCTTTTGGCACTCGTGTCCGTGATTCTCTCAGGTAATTCTAGGCCAATGAGGAGCATTAGCCAGAGAGAGGGAAGCATGGTTATCCATGGCTGCTGCTACAATTTGGAAGTCTCCCGGGACGCTGGGTGGGTGGCGGCCCTGTTTGATCCTTTTCAGGGTGATCCAGGTCAGCTTTCCATCAAGGTATCTCATGACTCGGCTTCAGTCCCCGTGGCTGCTTACCCGGAGTAGAGTCAGCAAAAAGGCAATTTCCAGAAGTCGCTTTGTGCTCCCAGGCTGCTCTGCGACCTCCTTGGGGCAGAGAGCAGAGCCGTGTGGGTGCTAGGGCTGCCTCACACACCCAGAACCAAGAGGAGGTGGAGGCGTTAGTGACAGCGACCAACGGAGGAGGCAGGTTCTCAGAGAGTAAGAAGAGGAATGGCGGTGGGCGTGGACTGGGGCCTGGAATGCCAACTCAGTAACTTCTAGAAGCTCCAAGTCTGTTTCAGGGAGAGAAGGCTATCGGCCTTGACACATGTAATGACGATCCACTCACAGTGGAAGGCCAAGAAGGCTCTTGAGCAGGCTTCTAAGATTCATTTGCTTTCCACCTCACCTTCTGAAAGGTTCCATTCCCGGAGGTTTTTAGAGGCCGGGGACCTCTGCCCTGCCTGTGTATAAACAGGAGAACAGGAGTGCTATGACCATAGCCCAACCCCGCCCCATCCTAAAGCGTGGGTCGTAAGCCTTCAAGGGATACCTTGTGCCAGTCTGTAGATGATTTGCTATATATCAGTGTTCATGATGATTGCTGTAAAGTTAGTAAGCAATTGGCAACAGCTTGTGAGGAATTACACCGTTCTTGGCACTGCTACACTTGTGTCTTGGAGTGTTGAACCTACTCAAAGTCCATGTTCTATAGTTAGGAGCCTGGCTGGAAGCTCTGGGGCGAAGGTCACAGCTCTTACTCAACTTGCAAATAAACATATCAGGATATGGAAAGCAAAGTACAACGGCCAATGAAGGGAATTAAGGGAGTTAAAGGGATGATAGGGAGCTGGGGAGATGGCTCAAAGGTTAAGAGCACTGGCTGTTCTTCAGAGGACCCAGGTTCATTCCCAGCACCCACGTGGTGGCTAAAAACTGTAACTCCAGTTCCAGGGGATCTGACACCTTCAGAAGACGCAGGCAAAATGCCAATACAAATAAATTATGTGTTAAAAGATTTGCTTTAAAAAAGGAGGGGATGGTGGAGCCGTGAGAGATTGCTCTCAAGGTAAAAAGCTTATTTGAGTCTGATGACCCCCTGAAGTCCGTTGACCTCCATATATATGCACGTGTGTGCCTGCACATACACAGAAATAAGTAAATACAATTTTTAAAAATCAAGACACTTGGTATGGTAGCACACACCTTAGGCCTCAGGAGGCAGAGGCAGCAGATCTCTTGAGTACTAGGGCAGAATGAGTTCCAGGACAGCCAGGGCTAACACAGAGAAACCCTGCCTCAAAGAAACTATAAAATTGGCTGCTGGCAAAGATACACCCTGTAATCCCAAGATTTATAAGACTCGAGAAGTCAGGAGGATGCCCAAGAGTTTGAGGCCAGTCTTGACTGAGTGAGAACCTGTCTCAATAAAACAAAAAGGGAACGGGGGGGGGGGCAGCTGTCAGTAGTGAGCCCCTGAAACCTGCGGGAGTGGGTCCTACCTTCCGCATCTCACTCAAAGGTTGCCACGAGCAGCCTTTTGTTTTCGGATGTAGATGCCTAACAGACTGTCATGCTGCACATAATATTTGTCAACTGTGTCTTGGGAATGCTACAGGAGGATTATTGTAGTGTCAAGCCAAACCGCATTCATGGGAAGGGGGAAGGGGCCCCGCGGTCTGAGTCCTGGGATGGCTGGGGGCTGCTTCCTTTGGCTTCCATCTCTTGGCTCCACCTCTATCTCAGCTTCATTTCCAGCTGTGCCCATTCTGGCTTCTGGTGTGTCTGGAGCCTTAGAAGAGCCCGACTCCCATCAGGCTGAGCCCCCTCCCCCAGCCCCCATTGAGCTGGTGCTACAGAGATGGGACCAAGTTTAGACCAGAGTCACGTGGTCCACCCCCACGTGACAAGGAGGAGCGTCCCCACTAGCTAAGATAAGAGTTCGGGATCTCCAAAGACTAGAACTTTCTCCATGGGAACGGCCACAGACTGAAGAGGACCGATGCCCATGTGTTCTCCTATAAACAGTACTAGTGCTTGGCGGAGGGAGGGGGTGGAGGGGGAATATGTAATTCTTGGCCCCAGGCGTGTGAATCCGGCTCAGTCAGTGCAAGAGAAGCAGTTAATCCGCAGAACAACAAAGACAGGCAGGTGTGATGAGCTGCCTGGGGCATGGGCTTCTACACCCAAGACACCGTAATCCTGGGCTGGAAGCAGCCGTCTGGGGTGAAAACAGGAGCCTGATCTCCCTGGGTACCTGGATGTGAGCTGGTCACAGGAGTACTGGGTGCAAAGCCGCTGTTTGTGGGTTTAGCACGAGGTGAGGCAGAGGGTGTGACCTGGAAGAACACGCTCACCTGACAAACAAAAACCAGAGGCTTGAGGGAAGCCCTCATGCGGATGGAGCAGGCATAGAAGAAAGGGATAGGGTTGCGGCCACAGAACAACCCAGCAGTCTCTGGGGCCACACTTCACCTTTCCCGACTGTCCCTAGAACACCATCTCTCCACTCCCCTCTTGGGTGCATGCCACAGTCGTGACATCAGTCAGAGCACTGACAGATTGGCTCCAGTAACCGACAGCAGGAGGGCCTACTCATGTGCAGAGAAGCCCTGGAATGAATGTGGGCTTGGGGCTGTGGAAGCAGAATGAAGGGCCTGGGGGATAGGGCAAACCAGCTGTGCCTGCCAGAGGGATGTTAGGGAGTTAGCCACCCCCCCCCCCCCAGCTCCCCAGAAAGCAGGAGACAGGGTCCTCTCATAACTATGAGCCATGCTAGAATCTAGTCTCAAAGTCTCTCTCTCTGACACACAAACATGACTGCATGGCCCTCTCCCTGCCTTGTGGAGTCTCCCTGTGTGTGAGTCTGGATGAGCTCCCCTCCCTCCCTCCCATCGACCCTCCCTCCCTCTGTAGTTCAGATGGGTGGTTTCCCACCCCCCTTAGGCCGGGCTGTTCACCCTGTAAGTGGAGTCACACAGTATTTGGCCCTCTGTAATCGGCAGACTACATTTGGTGTTTTTGTTTGTTTGTTTGTTTGTTTTTCTTTTTGGTTTTTTGAGACAGGGTTTCTCTGTGTAACCTGGACTCTGTTTGTCTCTGTTTGTCCTGGACTGTGTTGTAGACCAGGCTGGCCTTGAACACACGGAGATCTACCTGCCTCTTGTTTCCCAGAGTCCGGGGCTCTAATGAGAGACCAAAGAATTAAAGCTCATTGGGTACTGCTTTAAAGTTTAAAGCACAAGCCTGAAAGAAGGCCAGCCAGGTGGAGACCTGTCCAGCCACCTTCGAGGAAGAACTAGCCTCAACACCCTGAGGGGAAGAACTAGCTTTACTGCATTCTTTTCCTGCCCGCTAGAGATACGGTTGCTAGGAAACTAGCCCCTCTCCCCTAGGGCAGCCAAACAAGAGAATTGAGACCATTAATGGTTTGGGGGCCTTCCGATAGCCAATCAGTTCAAACTGCAGCATCCCCTTTTGTGTTTTGACCCATAGATGTTTGCCCCTGCTTTGGGCATGCTGGGAGCGACCCAACCCTTTAAATCACCCAACTAACCTGAGCACGAGGCTCTCAGCTCTCACCGATTTGGCAGTGAGGGCATGTGAGTCCAAGCTGTAGCTTGTAATAAAAAGGTCCTCATGTGTTTTGCAATGGACTTGACTCCTGGTGGTGGTCTTTTGGGGTCTTGTAAATAAAGCATGACACTAAAGGGATGTGCCAGCACGTTCCGTGTAATTTCCCTTAGTGCTGTCACATCTTTCCTCCACTCCAAACTGCAGAGAGCTCTCTTTTATTTTATTTTTGTGCTCTTTGGGAGTTTTGTGAAGCTGTTGGAGGAGTGGCTGGGGGTGGGGGAGCAAAAACCTCCACATGTTTTTTTTTTCCTTCTGAGCCAGTGAGGTGGCTCAGAAGGAAAAGACGCCTGCAGCCAAGGCTGATGATTTGAGTTCAGTCTCTGGAACCCACATGCAAAAAACAGGCTCCTGTGGGTGCCCTCTGACCTCTAGATTCTTCAGTGTTCTCCGCCCTTTCGAACTGTACTCTAAGGAGGTTTCTTTGAGGAGATGTGTGCTAATTTATATTAATGTGACCAGGTCAGAGTTATCTGAGAATGTAGGGGGACCTCAACTAAGAAAAATGTCTCCATAAGGTGAGGTTGTAGGACATTTTCTTAATTAGTGATCAATGGGGAGGGCCCAGGCCATTGTGAGTGAGGACAGCCATGTGCTAGTGGTCCTGGGTTCCAAAAGAAAGCAGGCTGAGCTGTTACGCTCAAGTCTCATGGACCCCAAAGACCACCAAGGAGTCAATTCCAATGCCGGGTCTTTTTATTACAAGCTCAAGCTCGGGCACACACCCTCACGGACGAAGCCATTGAGAGTAGAGCCCAGAACTCAGGGGAAGGAGGTCCCAGTCCCTCCCAGTGAGCCCAAACAAAGCAGGGGAATTCCACCCTGGCAAGTGTCTATTGGTTGAAACACAAAAGGGACATTGCATTTTAAAATTATTGGCTGTGGGAAGGTAGCTGTTGCTAGGGGAGAGGGGTGATCTGGGCCAGTTTCCTAGCAACTATATCTTTAGTAGACAGGAAAGGACTCAGTAGGGCTGATTCTCCACCCCCCACACACAGGTGGCCGGACATGTGTTGACAGGTCTGGCCTTTGTTCAGGCTTGTGCTTTAAACTTTAATCCAATAACCCAAATGTTGGGAGCCGCTGGTCTGCCAGGCTGCTTTGTTATTCAGATCTCAGCGGAAAGACTGCTTCCATCCTGGCCTTCACTGGAAATCAGTAATAAACTGCCAACTCTTTCTCCTGTTGTTTGAGACAGCAGGTGGGATGTCTTGTCAAAGTCACACCTTTTGCTTGACTTCCCTGTGAATTCATTCATTGTGCTGAGGTGCTTTTGCTCCGACTTAAAATGAGTCTGAAATAAAGCAAGGTGTCTGCTTTCTACTAGAGCCTCTCAGAAAGGTCCCATGTGTTGTGTGTGTTGGTTTATTAATTTCAATCCTCACTCCCGAGTTAAGAACCGTTTGACTCTGCCAGCGGGCTCCAGCACCCAAAAAATTAATTTTTGATTTTTGGTCTCTCAGAGCAAGCTGTGGGGAGCAAGCCAGTAAGCAGCACACCCTTGCATCAGCTCCTGCTTCTAGGTTCCTGGCCTGCTTGAGTCCTTTTATATATATTGACACCTTGCTTGCATGTATGTATGTATGCATACCATGAATATGCCTCGTGCCTGAGACAGCCGAAAGTGTTGGATGAAAGAATCAGACTAGTTTTGTAACCTATGTTTCTTTTAATTGCCTTACAACTTATATTTTCAAGTTTTAGGCCCATGTTAATTAAAGCCTCTTAGTGCTTCTCCAGAGAGCTGAGGAATGTAAAAGTTCCTGACATTAGCCATCTGTGAGGACAGAGATAAAGAAGAGAACAAGCAGAGATCTCTACTAAATGGAGAGAAAATCACCGGCTGGCGCCTGTGAGATGAGCTTTGTTTTGGAAACTGGGCCAAATGGCCCCAATCCTTCTCCTGAAGAGCTCCTGACCTTTGATCCAAAGCCTGTAACCCCCACTCCTCAGAACAGACACAGGATGAGTTAATCATTCTCCCACCTTTAACTGTGGCTATATCTCATATGGCAGGAAATTCTAAACTGACTTGAAGATCAGATATTTACTACAGCGCGGACCGGACCTAAGGGTGCCCAGAACCAACCAATTATTTTAAAAGTTAAATACCTCATCCAATCCCGACTCACCAATATTGCAACCCCTGGAATTTCCCGAGATTTGTCTTTTAAAAACCTAAGGACTTTGTCTCCTGGTGCCACTCCTTGCTGACCAGCAAGGGTGACCCCATTGTGCAATGGTAAAAACAAACCTCTTATGATTTTGCATTGATGATTAGTTTCCTGGGTTCTCTTCATACCTTCTTAAAATTAGGCTCATGCTGGGCCTAACATTATGGGGGCTCGTCCGGGATTGGGGGGGGGTTACTGAAGAGAACTCTGGACACTGGCTATTGGAGGACTCATCTGAGCTCAGAAGTAGGTACTGCGGTTGTCTTTGTCCTGTGTCTCTTGTCTGTTACATGTTTGTTCTGTTATACTAACAGTGACAGTGTTGGGTTTCTGTCTCTCCTGAAACTTTGCTTATGGTCTGGCTCGCGAGCATCTGTAGGAGGGGTTTGAGTCCCCTGAGTGGTTCGAGGCCACTCGCCTGGAATGGTCTCATTGAGGTGGACAGACATGTCATTAACGCCGAGGCCGAGGGGCAGCTTTGAGGATGCTCAGATTGCCCCTTTCTGTGAACAGGGAGGAGACGGAGAGATTCTGCTCCTCCAATCTGGATTGGGGGAAAACTCTGCTCCCCCAACAATCTGAGTCTGTGTGCCTTGGCCAAATAAGGCAAGGCAGTGATTCCTGTTTATTTTATATCCAGCTACTTTACTGACAGGATTTATCAGCTGTAGGTGTTTCCTGGTGGAGTTTTAAGGGCCACTTAATTACACTATCATACCATCTGTAAGTAACAATACTTTGACTTCTTTCTTTCCAATTTGTATCCCCTTGATTGCTTTTAGTTGTCTGATTGCTCTAGCTAGGACTTCAAGTACTATGTTGAAAAGAAATGGAGAGAGTGATTTTAGTGGAATTGCTTTGAGTTTTTCTTCATTTAAGTTAATGTTGGTTATGGGCTTGCTGGAAACTGCCTTTATTATGTGAAGGTATGTCCCTTGTATCCCTAAACTTTCTAGGACTTTTATCATGAAGGGGTGTTGGATTTTGTCAAAGGCCTTTTCTGTATCTAATGAGATGATCATGTGGTATTTCTGTCAAGGGGAGCTGGCTTCTTTCAGAGGGAGGGAAGGCAGAAGTCGTGTCTTTCCGGTTCCAAATCCCAGAAAAATCTCAGACCCCAGCCATCATTTGGGGTGCAAGAATCAGGAGTAAGTCAGGAATGTCAAGAGAAAAGCCTCCCCGCCCACCACAGCCACCTCCCTGGCAAACAATGATGGAAACGTCACAGGAAGAATGCTTTTGTCCCTCATGGCTCTGTCTCTACCATCTTGTCCTTTCACAAATTTTGGCTAACACCTGCTGTTGGCTGGGGGTTAGAGACAAACCTGACTAGACCAGTGGAAATTACTTATAATTCACCGGGGTAAGGCCAGTGATGAACACACAGCAAATCAACATGCAATTAGGACTTGGGTGAGCACAAGGAGGTAAGTTATAAGAATACCTGATTTAAGCAAAAGCTAGGCTCATCTTTCTGATAAGAGAAATGGGATTCAGCTGGGTGTGTAATCCCAGCACTTGCGGAGGAAGAGGCAGGTGCATCTCTGTGGGTTCGAGGCCAGCCTGGTTTACAAAGCAAGTCCAGGGCAGCCAAGAACCTGCACATCTCTCTGTTCATCTTCCATTGGGACGCATCCACACCGACTCCAATGGCGCAGAGTATCATGTAGGCACTCATTCACAGAGCAGCACAGCATCATCTATCCAGTTGCTTAGGCCAAATCCCTGGGAGTTATCTTAACTCATTTCTTATGAAGACCTCTAATACTACCTCTCAGGAAAGGCATGCACTACCATGTCTACTATGCCCAGCTAACTTTTTTTTTTTTGATGGGGTGTCTCTGTGTAGCTCTGGCTGTCCTGGAACGAACTCTGAGGAGCCGGCTTTAAACTCAGAGGTCTGCCTGCCTCTGCCTCCCAAGCACTAGGATTAAATCCCGCACCATCATTGCCTAGCCTGCCCCAGTCTTAAGCCATCTGTTTTCATCTTTACTGTCACCTGTAGTATATCAGCTATCACAGCAGTGTCTCACCTGGCTTGTTCCCAACAGCCTAGCAACACATTTGTGTGTTCCATTCTCCATACATACAGCAAGAAGGTAGTATAAAACATAAATGTGTGGTCTGGGGAGATGGCGAGGTGGGCAAAGTGCCTGCTTTCCAAGTATGAGGACCTGCATTCAGACTCCCATCACTCAGGTAAAAAGTTTGGGAAGGTATGGTGGGTGTGACCCTAGCCCAGTACAGACAGGGGCACCCAGGGCCACTGGCCAGATAGTGTAGACAAAACAGCCCTGGGTTCAGCGAAAGAGCTGGATCAAATGATAAACTGGGGAGTGATGGTGCAACTGGGCATGATGGCACATGCCTTTAATCACAGCACTGGGGAAACAGGCAGAAAGATCTGTGAGTCTGAGGCCAGCCTGGTCTACAGAGTGAGTTCCAGAACAGCCAAGACTATACAGAGAAACCCTGTCTCAAAAAACAGAAAACAAAGAAACAAACAGAAATGACAGTGGAAGACATCAGTGTCAAACGCTGGTATAGTAGGACTTTTTGATCAGCCAGCAAAGGAAAAAGACACAGAGACTTATTATTTATAAAAGCTTAGGCACTATAGTGTGGCAGACTCTCTGCTATCCAATCTATCTTCAGCCCAACTATTCTAACCACGACCTATGTGGCTCATTACTTCTCTCATTCAGTCCTGGCATGTCTCCTCTCCATGTCATGCTGGCAAATCCTTTTGCCTCCTAGTTCTTCTCCCAGTTCTTCTATCTCTGCCCAGAAGTCCTGCCCTTCCTGCTTCAGCTATTGGCTATCAGCTCTTTATTAAGCTAATTAAAAGGTGAGAGAGGAAAAGTGTTTACAAAATACTAGACAGGTGATGATCCATAAGAACAACAATACAAAAATCTGGACAGCACTCAGAATTAACAATTGATACAGAGAGTGTTGGTATACTTTATTAAAAAAAAACAACTCTTATTTACATTTTAAAAATCTCTTTCTCCCTTCTCCACCTCAATTCCTTCCAATACCCCAACATCAGGTAGGAGAAAGAAAGGGTTGGTGGGAGAGGGGGCACTGTTCTCTTAGCTGCTTCCTGCTAGTTAGGGTCATTGAGTTCCTTGGAGACAATCCAATCCTCAGTTCAGGAGATCTCCAATTTCTTGTCTCACTGCATCAACAGCAACCAGAAGCCTCAGAGGGTGGGCAGCAACAGCCTTGTTCTTTCTCAGAGCTCCCCAACATTCTCTTGGCTCTGACATTTCTTCTCTCTCCAGAGTCCTCAGATCTAGACTATCTACAGTTGGCAAAGAGCTCCTCTCAGAGCTTGCATGAGGCAAATAGTTTGCTGCTGTGGACTATCTGAATAAGTCCCACATCCCACACCTGAGATTAAAACAAAGACATGTTTATAGCCACAACAAGAGATAATCTTTACAAGATATACAAAAAGATTACCCAATACCCTGGCACCCACAGATATGTGCTGGAGTCTGAACATTCACACACATGTACGTGCACACATACAGCTCACATAAATTTTAATTACTCTCTAGTTAAAAACCTTCCTGTGGGGGCTGGAGAGAGGGCTCAGAGGTTAAGAGCACTGGCTGCTCTTCCAGAGGTCCTGAGTTCAACTCCCAGCAACCACATGGTGGCTCACAACCATCTATAATGAGATCTGGTGCCCTCTTCTGGCTTGTAGGTGTACCTGCAGACAGAACATTATATACATAATAAATAAATCTTAAAAAAACAAAAACAAAAACCTTCCTGTGCCTTAGAATAAGACCCCAAAATCCTGTGGTGGTGCAGCTCTTGCATCTTCAATCTAACCCTTTCCCTCTCCTCCCTCTGCTCTAACCACAACACTGCCCTGGAGAAATCACTTTAGGGCCTGATTACAACTCCTCTAGTCACTGAGTGCTGGCCCTCAGGACCCACTAATGTATGCAGAAGCCAGTTCTCTAAGGACGTGCCCAGAGGAAACCGGCCTATCCTGTGGCCTGTGTATGTCATCACAAGCTGAAAGTCCCCAGAGCAGAACTTAACTGCTCCCTGAAAAGAAGCCTATGACCTGAAAGAACCCTGGTGACCCGAGCAAGACAGCCAGAGACATTGTCCTCCTCCCTCCTTGTCCTCCAGCCAGTAAGCAGTGTGTTCCCTCCTTCCTAAGAGGCATCCAGCCACCAAACATCAGGAACGCTAATATTTTGTGGCGCTTGATGGTCAATGGAGGGACCGGCAGTCAGTGGACACGCTAATAGTGGATGGCCTGGCTAACAGTCAATGGATGAGCTAATATTTTGCCCCTGTTCTTTGTCCTTTGATGCTCCTTGAACACAACTGCTTATATTCTTTCACATTTTTTTGATGATTCCTTTTTATTTTTCATGTGCATTAGTGTTTTGCCTGCATGTACACCTGTGTAAAGGCGGTGGATCCCCTGGAACTTGAGGAATAGATGGCTGTGAGCTGCCATGTGGGTCCTGGAAATTGAACCCTGGACCTCTGGAAAAGCAGCCAGTGCTCTTAACCTCTGAGCCATCTTTGTAACTCTCCCTCTCTCTTCAAGAGAGGGTTTCTCTGTGTAGCACTGGCTGTCCTGGACTCACTTTGTAGACCAGGTTAGCCTTGAACTAACAGAGATCTACCTGCCTTTTTGGTTTTATTTTTTTAAGACAGCATATCACTATGCCACGCTGGCTACCCTGGAACTCAAGAGATTCTCCTGCCTCTGCCTTCCAAGTGCTGGAGCTAAGGTGCATGCCACCACACCTGTCCAGCCTCAGAGTTTTACACTCACTGCTCCTCTGCCCACACTTCTTCCTCTGATATCCCAGTACCTCTCTTCCTGTAATGGCCTCAGCCCAGATGTTCCCACTTGAGACCCCTGTGACCATGTAATGAGAGACAAACATCTACCAGATGTAAGAGTTCGATACTCCGACCACAGAGTGTTTTCTTCTTGCCTATGTCCCCGTTTGTCAGCTTCTTTTTCTACTCTAGTCCCCATGGTCTAGACAGCCTGGCCCAGCTGTGCAGTGACTTTAGTAAGTGAGCAAATGAAAACCCATTAAGAGGTGAAGAATTAAAGCTACTTCTTCTTGGGAGGTTGGGGGAGGGCTCAAGGGCTGTCCTCAAAGATTAAAGGGGTAAAGGTCAAATTGACTTTATGTAGCAAGTGGACGGTGTTGACTTGATTGTGAGGGAATCATCTGATGGCAGTCATGGGCTCCTGGAGTCATCTCTGAAAGTAGTCAATTAGAGTTCGAGGCCAGCCTGGTTGACAGAGTGAATCCCAGGACACCCAGGGCTGCACAGACAAACCCTGTCTGGAAACACCAAAACAAACAAAGTCAGTTAGACCGGGTCCTGTAGTGAGTAAAGATGAAATAATGTATGGAAGAGAAGGGCCAGCCAGGGTAGCCACTTTCCTACAGCCGACCAGGTTCCTCTTGTTTCAGAATTTTTGGGGGTGGGGGTTTGGGGGAGTGTCTCAGAGGATCCCTAATTGGTTGATATAGAAGCAGTAGTCTTCTTGGAGAAGGCATGTCCCCCACTTTTCTGCCACTGGCATGTATAGGGAGGTCTGTTTTGGAGAGGACCCTTGCGAGGGGATTTTTTTTTGGCCATTGGCATTTGTTGAGAGTGGTTGCCATTGGTGGATACATCTGAGATGCCTGTTCCCAAGGCAGGAGAGATGCCTAGCCCGGCTGGGATGGGCAGAAGTTGGAGGCTCTCTTTGGTTGTGAGAGGGAAGGTGTAGATTGAGCAGAGGTCACTGATGGGGACTGAAACTGCTTACTCCAGAGGATCTGTGTGTCTGGTTATTAAGAGGTTATCCTGACTGAGCCTTAGTATTCCCAAGCTCACCAGGTTGATAGGCAGGCCAGGCAGCAGGGACCACTGTGGCTGCTGCTGGGCTGGTGGCTAAATTTTATTCATGGGGGTGATCAACATGGGCTAGAGCTGATGGCGGGTACTTTGCCTTTTCATCGGGAGTCAGGGTCGTGGTGAGGATGTTGCATTTCTCCAGCTAAGTGATAAATCTGGTGAGACATAGGACTTCTTTTCTCTATTTTACAGAGTTTTCGAAAAGGGGTGCCCACGTTGTTTGGATTTAGCCCCTGCCTGAAAGGGAGAACAGGATGTGAGCCTTGATTGGACCCTTGGGCCTATAACCTCTCAGGGGAACTGTGTGGGCTGGGGGATTTTGGGAAGGGTGTTTGTGAGACTGAGCAAAAGGAGGGGAGGGGCAGGGAGGGGGAGGATGGAACATGGGGGAGCCTGAGACAGGGAAGTCAGGGGAGTAGTGTTCAGGCAGTTGGTGAGGGGGAGACGGTTGGGTCAGGGAGTTGATTTAGGGGTACACTGGGTGAGATAGGTGGAGCTGGGGTGCACTGGATAGTCAGTGGATTGGATAAAGTGGGCGTTCATTAGTGGGGTTAAAGTCAGAGAGAGTGAAAGAGGACTGGACATTTTGGGGGATAGGAGGGGAGCCAAGGAGAAGGATTTGATACATAGAGCTTTTGGGGCAGAAGGAAAGACGTCCTGAGCTAAAGCAAACCCCTACACAAGGACCTCCAGACCACTTATGGCGCTGGCCATGAAGCTGCCCCAGTCTGTGAGAACTTGAAAACTGAGAATATTGCATCTAGGCCATGTATTTTCATTGTCCACTCTGTATTAGGCCCAGACCTCAGTTGGCAGGTGTGCCAAAGGTCACTTAGACCTAATGCCTTGAGGTTTGTTTTAAGGCAAACCAAAGGTGTGTCTTTATATACACACGTACATACATGAAATGGACAATTGTGGACCCCATTCTGAGCAAGGTAACTGTGGGACTCAATCTGCTTCTAAGTCATCACTGATTAAAAAAAAAAAATACAACTTTATAAGAAAACTACTCCCAGAGTAACCGACTAGGCACTGACAGGCTTTTATTAAGTCCACTGGATGCAGCATACAGTCCTAGAGAGTTACAGAAGGGAGCATTATGGGGGTAGAACAGGGGCAAGCTTCAGGTTAGCTGCTCGGGCCCTGGTTGGCTACAGGTGAAACATTTCCAAGTAAGGGCAAGGGAGTATGATCCAACCTGGCGCAGAGCTGTTTGGAAGATGATAGGTTTTGTGTTTCCTAGAGATGCATGTCTATCTGAAGAACTGAGACACACACCTCAGTCAGCAGACTAAGATGGTGTCTCTGATATTAAGCTCTGTCATCCATGCCTTTTTAGTCACATGGAATAGGAACAGTTTTCTCTGGCTATTTCCTGTGGACCCTGGATATAGTACAGGGCAGGGAAGGCTAAGGAATGACAGAGTCCTTTGGTTGTGAAGATCAACACTCACCTCTCCCCTCCCCCATCACTTTGTGGTGGAATGCCTGCATGCAGTTGGAGAAAGGCATTGCCCAAAGAGCAGGAACAAAATTATTATAGCAAAAGGACCTATTCCTATTTGTGGCAGGAGCTAGGGAAGATCTGAGTCAGGGTAGTTCCAGGAAGACAGCTGGCTATGGAGTTGCTCATCATTCCTGCCTCTCCTTTAGCTCAGGTGCTCCATCCCTACTGACTGTGATGCAAGCAGCATTCTTCCTGCAGGGCTAGGCAGAGGTCACCCTTTTCTGTCTTGGTGAGATCCAGGCCTCTGCAATTTTAGAAAGCCAGTCCTCCCGTGGAGTCCAGTTGGTCCTGGATTCAGATCATGTTTGGGAAGAGGATTTCCCTCAATGAGTCAGGAAGATCCTCAGACAACATTCTGAAATAGAATACTGAGGTAGGCAAGACACCCGGGGGGGCCCATTGATGTCAGATAAACTGCAAAGGGGACAGGAGGTACCAGTGGGTGAGGGCCTGAGGAATGGCTTCTGTTTACAACACACCCAAGAAGAATTCGGGGCCACCATAATGAGGGGCACAGCACTGCGTCCTCCCTGAGCAGACCCCTACATGTTAAAAGAAAAAAAAAGGCTTGGGGGACAGAAAGTATCTACTGGCACCAGGAGACACGGTCGTATTGACAAGGTCAAATCAGTGGTGATGAGGGCATCTAATTTTAATGGTGGTGTTCAAGAGGGCTGGGGTGGGTGTGCAGAGACTCTCTGTGGCAGAGGCAGCTGAGAAGCAGTTCCCTGTTGTGGAGCTGAGCATGAAGTCAGGTTAGGCTGACATCTGGTAGGAGTGGGTAGGGGCTGGCCTCCTCCACAAGGCAGTCCACTCCCCCAGTGTCCTGGCTCTTTTCAGGCAAGGTCCTAGTGGAGCCTTGGAGGATGAGCTGGTGTGGCAAAAGGACTCTGTTCTGGGGACCAGAGTGGCAATCCCAGAAGACAGGGACTATAAGAGAAAACGACAAGGTTGCAAACATTTCCATGTGCCTGAGACCCTCACCCCGGGCAAAGGGTAGCAACCATCTCTTTCCAATTCCTCTCCAATGGGAAGATTCTGCCTTTCAGTATGTATGCCAATAAACACAATCCCCATCGGTTGATGTTCAGGCTTTGTTTCTGTCTCTTTTCCACTTCCTGCCCCTTTGAGCTGCCCCAGAAATCTAACATCCAGTGTCAAAACTCAGAAATGAAATCCAGGATCCATTAGTGACATGGGCCCTCCCACAAATGTAGCTCTTTTATTAACGTGTGGTGCAGTGGGGAAGCAGCCTTAGCCTGTAGCTGCCAAAAAAAAGGGTAAAAGCAGGAGCTGTAGTCATGGGGGCACCAGAGCCCAGCCTGTCTGCCCAGAGCCCTGCAATACAGCCCAAACAGCAGAAAGGAGCCAGTGCCTGGAAGGACCCTGAGCCCTCACAAACCTCCCTTGCTCTCCTCTGCTCGCCGGTCCTATGCCCCAAGTTGGCCTGTAAGGGCCAGTCTCTGAGGCAGCCATTTCTTTCACTGTTTCCACCCTCCTCTCACTTTTCTGTCTTGCTCTGTCAGTCTGAATTCCAAACCAGAGGCCAACTTTCCATTCAACCAGACCATGTATCCAACACTGCCAAAACATTTGGACACGGTCATATGAGGACCTAACTCCAAGGCACCTCACATACCTGGTGAGGCATGTGCAGCCCCTTTTTGAGACTGGCTCAACTATCCAGGCGTTTCCCATTGGCTGTGAAATCACTTGGCCGGGCTCTGGGAACTCTCCATGGGCAGGCCTGTGTGACTCGCTTGGCAGTAAGCTCTAGGAACTTTCCATGTACCACTTGGACTCCACTTCTGGAAATGTGGAGACTGGGGACGCCCACCAATCACATGCGCTGTTGTGAGCAAGAACATAGATATGTGTACTTGGTAGAACAAATTATATTTTATTATGCTGAGGGCCATCATACACAGTCTACACTCTAAATCCCTAACTACAGTTCTATGCCTATCTCCCCGAGGCTGCTGGCCTGCGCAATGCACCTTATCTGAAGGTCAGGTCCACTCTCTAACAGAAGTCTCTGATCAAGGTCAGGATCTTGGGGAACTCTCCAGCCACAGGGCAGATCAAGGTGGCATCTCTCCAGTCTCCAGATGTGCAGAGCAGAGCATTGCTCTTGGTCTCTGCTGACATACTGTCCAACGGCTGTCATGGGGTTCCAGGAGTGTGTCTGCTTATCTTGAGTGAGTGATGTCACTGATTATCAGGTACAACCTTGGCTATAGTGGGGTTCCTGACTAAGCTATTTTCACAGGCTTAAAAGGTTTTTTTTTTTACCTTGGTTTCACACCTGCCAGAAGTTCCAAACTGACCCTTAGCACACCCTTAGCCTGCCTGAAGGCTAATCTGAAGAGCTCCATTAGCCTCAGGAGGCTAACTTGCTCAGCTATTGGTCCCAATCTAGCCTCAGTACACAGTGGACAATGGCCATTGCTGGCCCAGATTCAGAACTTTTGATTTTAATATCTAAACTGTTTCAGATAACTTCATAAAACGGAATGGAGAGTGGTCTGAGGACTCTTTCCCTGTATTTCTGCATTCTTCAGACCCTCACTCACTGTAAAGGCTCCAAGGCAGCTTTTTCCTCTGGCAGACTATTCCAACTTGCTGGAGGAGTCTGCCCCCTGCTGTCCTACCAATAAACACAGCCCAGAGTGCTGGAGGTCAGGCTCCCATCTCTTTTCTGCCTCTTGTCTGTACCTTTGAGCTGCTTCACAAATCTAACGAAAAGAACACATACTAAGCTCCTTGTACAACCTTCATGGCTCCTGGTTTCATTTTATTAAATTATAATTTCATCCAAGCCTCTCCAGGAGGTGTTCATATACCTCTTATCTATTGAAGAGAGGAGTGGGCCGGGGAAATTGCTTCAGCAACCCTCTTCCTAAAGGCGTGTGCCAGGCCGGGCTTCTTAGCAACTTTTTGAGCTATAACTAGAGAGCCATTATAAGCGGTACAGAGGATTTCCGTAGGGCCAACGCGAAGATAGTTAACAACTTAGCCCCACGTTTGGGTACGCCTTGCTTTCTCCAAGTTTGCTCTTGGGAAGCTCATACACCCATTATCTTCTAACTCTCTCATGTGTAAGCTTCCATTTAAATAATCTCTAATAAAACCTTCAACCCTGCTTCATAAACTGGTTGGTCCTAAAACTCTCAGCAGGTAAGACACGAACTCGTTTGGCCCCCCTGAAAGTCTAGGGGACTCCCACTCCTTGGCATGCTCTTTGGGTGGCAGCAGGCAACTGCATCTCCGATCCCCGCACAGCTGACAGAACAAGAATATAGTTCCCACACAGCGAGGTTTCTGTAGGTCCCAAGTTACCGTTTCGGTCCCTAGCCGACCTCTGCGACTTGTCGCCTCAGGCTTTCTCTGGCGGCGCGGCAAGGACGAGCAAGCTCCAGCGCACGCGTACTACCAGCGCCCCGCAGCTCCCATGGCGGGCCAGCCGACCCGCCGTCTTACGTCATTAGCGTGGCGCCATCCCAGCGGAAGGCCCGGGGACCTGTGCTGACTGCGGCGCGCTCCGGGGAGGACCCGGCGGGCGCCTGCACATCAGTCGCGCGGCCCGGGCAAGCCTCGGAAAGTCCGGCGGACGCCGGCGAGGGGCGCGCGTGGCTGTGGGGTCGCGCAGCCGGGCGGCAGCAGGGGTGGCGTGGGGCTGCAGAGGGCGCGGCGCGGGCGGGCGGCCGGCGGGGCTGCCCGGCGCGGGCGTCCCGGCGATGTGTGGCGCTGAAGCGGCGGCGGCGGCGGCGACGGGCTCGGCTTCGCGGCGGTGCTGGTGCCGGCGGCGGCGGCGGCGGCGCAGGCCTCTCCTCGGGACCTGGCGAGCCCCGGCCTAAGCGGCGGCCCCGCAGAACCCCCGCACGGCGCTCCAGGCCGGGCCCCTCCCCGTCTCGCCCTGCCCCGGGAGCCTGCCTCCCCGGCCGGGGATGAGGCCGGGAAGCGGCTGCGCGGGGCCCAGCACAAAGGCTTGTCCCCAGGGTCCGCCGCCGCTGCCGCCGCCACCGCCCCCACCAGCCTAGAGCCGCCTGTGGAAGCTGAGCCGGCACCCGGGCCCTCATCCCCTCCGGTCCCCAGGGGCGGGCGCTGCCCGTCTCCCCGAGGCCCGGGGACCCGAGCTCCGAGCCCTTTGCTTCTGCGGCTGCCAGGGGACCGGACAGCCGTACAGCCTCCGCCGCTTCGGGCAGTGGGAGCCCTGCGGAGCATGTCGGAGGACAGCGACATGGAGAAAGCCATCAAGGTAAGAGGGAGATGCTACTCTGTCCCTACTTTGGCGATTCTTTCTCAGCGCTGGCTTTGGGAAATCGAGAGAATTTGGGTGGGAGGTAGAGGTTCTAGTCACTAGAATCTATTAACTCCGGGTTCCTGCCTCACTGGGATCTTTGGATCACATTTGAAAGCCCAGAGTGTTGGGTTATGAAGGGTGGGATGTCCGATTCCAGCTTCCTTGGCTGATGTAGTTTGTGCTCAGTTAGAAGGGAGGTAAGTAGCATGGAGATACTTGATGTGAGTGGAACTAAGGGCTTCTTAGGATTCTCATGTTTTTATCGCCTCCAAGTGCCACCGTTTGCTACTCCGTGCAACACTTGGCAGCGGTTCTGACCCCTCTTAATGGGTCTGAAACAAGCCTCTTTGAGACCTTAAGCTTCAGGAATTGGCTGGCCTTCGTCCAAAACCTGTCCTTTGAATTTTCCCTCCTTTGTGCGATCATTTCTTCCTGTTCTCTTGCAAACTTTCTTAAGAACCAAGAGTTTATTTCTGAGAAGTTAAAGTGCCCTATGCTCTAAAACGACCCGGAACGGGACTTGGAATGCATGTAGCTCACTGCATAAAACTGGCTGTCATCCCAGCACGTAGAAGGGTCAGAATTGAGGGTCCCAGCCAGTGCAATACTCAGTGTTTGGTGGGTCAAAGAATCCTGAGCCCACCAAAGGAGGCTAATTACTTGAGTAAGATCCCTAGAACCACATGGCTGGAGAGGGTCAACTCTTGCAAGTTGTCCCTCTGATATTTAGGGATACACACATACACCCTTAAAAGTGAAATAATAAAAGGTTTAAGACTGTCTTTGGCCACATAGGTAGTTAAGAGGCCAGCCTGGGACTACAAACTCTGCCTAGAGATAAAAGTAAGTATAGCCTGGCTGCCTGGTGCACGCCTGTAATCCCAGCACTCAAGAGGCAGGTGGATTCCTGTGAGTTTGAGGACAGCCAAGGCTACACAGAGAAACCCTGTCTCAGGAAAAAAAAAAAAAAAAAAAAAAAGATAAATAAGTGCATAAATTAAAATAACCCAAGTGACTTTTTATTTCTCCTGTCTTTTTGGTTTGGGGGTTTTGTTTTGTTTTTGAGACAGAGAGACAGGGTTTTTTTGTGTTTTCCTGGAACTCAGTCTGTAGACTAGGGTGGCCTGGAACTCAGAGATCTGCCTCCCTCTACCCCTCTGAGTGAGTGCTGGGATCAAAGGCATTTGTCACCACTACCCTGCTCAAATAGACTTTTTTTTTTTTTGTTTAGATTTTTTTAGAGTGACAGCTTTGTTATGTATTGACACTCTTTATGTGTTTTCATTTGACAATTTCATACATTTATTCTTCATTATTTTTGTTTCACCATTGAGAATATGTATATTTCCTGGGTATGGTGGCATGTGCTTGAGGCCAGGAGTTAAAGGCTACACAGGAATAACAGTCAAAAACAGATCAGCCGGAGGAGGTGTTGAACACCTTTAATCCCAGCACAGAGGCAGGCCAGTCTCTATGAGACCCTAACCCTTTCTGTTAGGCCAGCCTGGTTTACAAAGTGAGTCCAGGACAGCCAGGGCTCAGTTACACAGAGAAACCCTGAGAATCCCAGACTCAAAAACAAAACAAACATAAACAAAACAAAAAAATTAAAAAGTCTTTAGTTTTGACTCAGTAACAGTGTTGTTTTTTTTAGTCTTTGAATTTTTCTTTTCTTTTCAAGACAGAATTTTTCTGTGTTAGCCCTAGCTCGCCTAGAACTCACTCTGTAGACCAGGGTGGCTTGGAACTCACAGAGACCAGCCTGCCTCTGCCTCCCTGAGTGGCTGAGATTTAAAACTTTTTGTCTCAACAAAACAAAACAAGCCAATAACAAACAAACAAACCAGAAACTATTAAATCTTTACAGAACCTATCAGTTTGTATCTAGAAGTCAGAGATAGTTGCTATTGACCCCCTCCCCCCACACACACATACTAGATGGTAATTTCCTGGGTTTTATATGTCTAGTAGTTTTTGTTGACAAAGTGGACGCTTGGTAACATTGTAACAACTCTGGACTCTCACCCTTGTTATAGTTACAGCTGCCTAGAATTAAAAGGGAATTTTCTTTTCCTTGTACATGTTAATGTCGGATCAGGACTGTTTTTTTTTTTTTTTTTTTTTTTTTTTTCTTTTTCTTCTTAGCCTCCTCCTGTTAGATCAGCCTCTCATGTGAGCAGAGACTTTCCTCTGTTTGGAATTTTGAGGTCTTTACCCCCTGCCTCTCAACCCCTGTGGTTCTGGAGTCCTTTTAGAATGGAGTTGATTGCAAAGTCACTTTTGGCTTTAGATTTCCTCTGGCCTTTCAGTCTCTCCAGTTTTTTGTGGAGGGCTCACTTTGGCTGTATTCTATGGCTCTGGGTAGCAATTTGCCCTCTAAACCCATGCACTCTGCCTTCCTGACCCAGGACCGTTGTCTTGGGGCTCAGCACTGCTGTGCCTTCTCACCCACATTCACCTGCTCTCACCTGTACTGTCTGCCATGTTGTTCTTCCTGTCATCTAGAGCAGCAGTGTTACTTTTCATAGCCAGCTCCATGCTGGGAGCAAGCAACACCACTGACTGCTTTGGGCAGAGGACAGAGGATGGAAGCTGTGGGAGCCAGGCTGCATGCTGCTTTTGACCTCACTTCTAGTGAGTTTAAAAAAGGACAGTTCTCAGTTTGTTTAGGTTATACTGTTCTGAAATAATTAGTTTTGACAACTGACAGCGGTCTGTGTAGCTCTTACTGGCCTGTAGATTAGGATGCCTTGAGCTTAGGGAAATCTGTCTGTCTCTGCCTCCCAGTAAGAGCCATCAAGTCTGGCAGTTTTGTTGCTGTCTGTTTTGTTTTGACAATTTTGTCTAGCTTTAAATGTATTTATGGAAAGCAGCTGCCTGCCTTTGACACTGAGTACAAGAATTCCCTATTTTGTTATTATTGAGCCCCAGACAGGTTGATGGCTTACCCAGGTAAAGATGGGTGGAGAATGAATACTTCATCTGCTCCATCCAAGATTAGTTGTACTAGAATCTCAAGTGAGGGGTCTGAACATTGGGTTGTTTTGAATTTAAACATTCTCAGCTGGTTGTAGTGGGTGGTGACTGAGGACAAGCAGTCTAGAATGAAAATGCCTTTCTTCACATTGAGTGTCTGAACACAGTCTAACATGGAGTGCTCTCTGTTCTGTGACAAGCAGACTGTACTCCATAGCATGAGGAAAGATTAGGCGGAGTTCACCTGCTGTCTGCACAAGTTGAGCCGTTTGTTCAACGGTGGAAGCCTCTACAAATGCCTGACATGGTTTTCTGGACTCCGAGGAAGTACACTTGAGTGTTGTAGTGAAGATGCACAAGTTACTGTGCTCTGTGTGTGCACATTTGAGCACATGGGATGGGTGCTGGGGGTGGATGTAAGCCCCTCATAGGCTAGGGAAGTATTCCGCCACTCATGTAAAGTCCTAGCTCTGTCAGTACTTTGAAATAATGTCTGTCCCCAACCCCTCTCTAAGGTATCGTTTGTCTATTTAAATAGACCATGTAAGCGGGTTGCACAGTTTCATTTTATTCTTGAACCTATGGTATTGGGAGGTAGTGGCAGTCATGTAGACCATTGCACAATTATAAAAACCTGTAAACTGGCTTAGAAGGTGAGGTGCCATGGCTGTCCTACCTCTGCTTAATTATCTAGTTGAACAGTGGAATCATTTCTGGACCCCCTCCTTTATTTTATTTTTTTCCTTTTTCTTCTTTTTAATAGGAAACCTCCATTTTAGAAGAATATAGTATCAATTGGACTCAGAAACTGGGAGCCGGAATTAGTGGTCCAGTTAGGTAAGACAATGTGGAAAGCTGGGTGCATTGTTCTGGGAGATGTATGAAATGAGCCTTGAGCTACAGACATCAGATACACATAAAGAATTAGCCTGAGCTTATTTGTGTGTGTTTCAGTTTTTTTTGAGACAGGGTTTCTCTGTGTAGCCCTGGTGTCCTGGACTTGCTTTGTAGACCAGGCTGGCCTCTAACTCACAGAGATCCACCTGTCTCTGCCTCCCTGAGTGCTGGGATTACAGGTGTGAGCCACACACCCAGCTTAGCCTGAGTTTAAATTAGGAGTTTTTGTTTAGTTTTGTTTTTTTCTGTCAGTGTGTGTGTGTGTGTGTGTTAAGAACATGTACCACTGAGCTGTACTTCTAGCTCCTAGTAGAGGGGATGTATTTTATTTTTATTTTTTATTTTTTGCATTTTTATGAATAAATGTGTGGAAGTCAAAGGATCACTTTCAGGAGTTTGTTCTCTTAGTCCATATGGGTCCTAGAGATCTCACCGGCCCCTTAGTAAATGCTTTTTGTTTTACATCTAGAAACAGCCAAGTAGCAAGGTCACATGGTATGGATGGGTTAATTTTAAGATGTCAAGGTATTTGGACCAGTGAGATGGGTCATTGAGTCGAGGTGCTTGCTTACAGTCTAATGTCCTGAATTCACTCTCTGGGGCCAGCAGTAACACTGGAAGGAGAGAGCTGGCCCTGCAGGTGACTCCGTGACCTCCATATGTATACCCGTATACACACAAAATAAAAATCTTTAACATGTCATTTTAAAAATGTGAAAGGTAAGTTTTTAAGTCTTGAACTGACAGCAATCTGCCTGCCTCTGCCTCCCCAAGTGCTGGGATTACAGGTGTGTACCACCACACCCAGCCCAATGGGTCAAAGGTTAAGAGTGCTGTCTGCTCTTGCAGAGGATCTGGGCTTGATTTCCTACTACCTATAAAGTGTCTCACTGCCACCCATAACTCGTTTTTCCAAGGGATCTGTTGCCCTCTTCCAATCTCCACAGGGACCATGTAGCGAACAAACTTACATACAGGCAGAACATTCATACACTAAAAACAAAGACATAATATTTATTTATTTGTTTATTTTAATTTTTCAAGACAGGGTTTCTTTGTGTAGCCTTGGCTGTCCTGGAACTCTGTAGATCGGGCTTACCTCCAACTCATAGAGGTCCACCTGTCTCAGCTTCCTGAGTGCTGGGATTAAAGGTGTGTACCACCACCGCCCGGCTAAGACATAAAAAATGTAAGAAATGTAAAGTAAGACTCCAGGCCACTTTGAGAGGCCATCCTTTCTTCAGTGCTTTGGTAGTGAGCCGACATTGCCTGTTACGGTGACCCTAGGCTGAACTGAGGAACAAGAGACTTCTCCCTTACCACCTGCTGCTCTAGGACAAGTTGCTTGTCCTTCTATTTGTTTGTCTCTCTGAGACAGGGTCTCTATAGGCCATGCTCTCCTGTTACTTTCTCCTAACTGTCATTGTGATTTCCCTCTACACCTAGAGTCTGTGTGAAGAAATCTACTCAAGAACGGTTTGCACTTAAAATCCTTCTCGATCGTCCAAAAGCTAGAAATGAGGTAGGTTTCTTCATGTGACTTGTACATTCACACACACACACACACACACACACACACACACACACACACACGGAGGGAGGAGAGGGAGTGAGTGCCTGTGCAGGCCTGAAGAGGGCCTTAAATGCCTTAGAAGTGGAGTTAGAGGCAGTATGAGCCATCCAGCCTGGGTGCTGAGAACTGGACTCGGGCCTTCTGGAGAGCAGGAAGCACTCTTAACCACTTAGCTGTCTTTCCAGCTCTTGTCTAAATGGTTTTAGAGCCTTAAAATACATCTGTATGTACAGTTAAGGCAGGCAGCTTCCTGAAAACTACAGATGCACCAAGTATCTGCGTATACTAACCTTCTAGTCTCTGTTCTCATTGCTAACCCTTACTGTTGGCAAGGGTTCTTACTGAGCGTGGAAAGCTAGCATAGTCTTTTTTCTTCCAGCCACCTCACAGTTTTTTCTTACTTAGTAGCAGAAATTTCTGAAATAAAGTAAGTTATTTTTTTCATTTACTAATAAAAGGACATAGTGAATCTGTTGGTGCAGTTTTATTTGTAGAGAGAAGGCTGAGGAGATGGTCTGGACAGGAAAACACTTTTTTGTATTATTCTAGATGATAAGGATTTTTAAGTAGACTTATCCTTTGGACCAAGCACGGTCAATTTCTGATGGGAACTATAGAGGAAAATGATGGCATTTTCTGTGCACATGAACATTTCCTGTGTTCTCTTTAAGGTGCGCCTGCATATGATGTGTGCCACACACCCCAATATAGTTCAGATTGTTGAAGTGTTTGCTAACAGTGTACAGTTCCCTCATGAGTCCAGCCCCAGGTAAGACTAAACAGGGCTATCACCATAGACCCACATGGAGGTTTTCTTGGAGCAGAGTCATCCTCTTCTGTGTCCTCCCCCTCTTCCCCACCCATTTCCTCTCCTTTCCCTACCTTTTCCTCTTTGTGTTTTAAAAACTTAGAACCCTTTGTAAAAGTGGAATTATGTAAGGTATGCCTAAGCTGTTATCACCAAGTTTTACCAGCTGCCTGTGTGGAATCTTGTTTCATGGGCTAACCCTCCATTATTTTGATTACTTTGTCCTTTCAAAACACTTTTAAGGGTTGAGGATTATAGTTCAGTGGTTGTTTGCAAAGCATACCCAGGGCCCTGGATTTACTCTCTAACTCTAGTTTAGTTAAAAAGCAACATACAACATTAACGAGCCAGGTATAGGGGTGGGTGCATGCTTGTAATCATCGCTCTTGAGAAGTTAAGACAGGAGAATCATACATTCTAGTCTAGCCTGGTCTACATAGTAAGACCTTCTCTAAATAAATTTGAATTGAAATAGATGCTATTTCAGATGGGTGGAGAGTGCCTAAATGTCTTTCCTGGTCAAGTCTTAGAGGCTAATCCACCAAGCTGCCCCATTGCTTGTCCTGAGTTTCCTTCTGGAGAAAGGAACCCTCATCATTCTTTTAGGTGCATGTATTTGGGAAGTACTTTAGGTGGAGACTGAAATATCCCTGTCACTGCACTGTGGTGGGCAGCAAGCAAGCAGCCTCCTCCCTTGCATTTTAAAGCTTATTCAGCAGAGCTGTTGTGAGTGCAGCCTGGGAGGCTGTGGGAAGTGCACACTGGGAAGGTGGTAAAAGGAGCTGTGGTTTTAAAAGCCAATGGGAAGTCGGTTGCATTTCCCAAGTGTGCTCTGTCAGTGAAAGCATTTGGATGCAAGCAGAAGCATTTACATGAAGGAAGAGGAGCCAAAACCTGTTTTGTTTTCTTTTTTCTTTCTTTTTCTTTTTTTATTTTTTCGTTGAGACTGAGAAGTACTGCACTTAATCAGTGGCTAGGTTACCCTGAACTTAGAAAGTGGTTGCATATTTTGTAGATGAGTTTACTCCAGGTCAGTTTTTTTGCTGTTCCAGGGTTTTTATTTTCCTTTTCTTTGTTTCTTTCTTATTCCTTTTCTTTTTTTTTTTCTTTTCTTTTCTTTTTTTTTTTTTAACTTAACAAAATCAAATGCTTTCAAACAGGGCTCGACTCTTAATTGTAATGGAGATGATGGAAGGGGGAGAGCTATTTCACAGAATCAGCCAGCACCGGCACTTTACAGAGAAGCAAGCCAGCCAAGTAACAAAGCAGGCAAGTCAACCCCGGCACAGTCAGCCTGGGACTACCTGTTAAGCAGTACAATTGCATTAGGGGAAAGCAAGCTCAAAGAAAAGCTCCGTTTGACCTCTCATTGCCTGCTTTGTTATAATCAGAAAGAATGCCTTCATAGAAGTGTGACCCTTTTATACTCTGGGAGGGAGGGTGGCATTTTTAATTGCTTGTTCCATGTTTCCCAAGGGCTGCTGCCAGGAATTTCCTCCACTGACTGTCTTAACTGTGGACAGCTGTGGACAGGTAGCTTTCCATGCTGTTGATGTCACCTGCAAGACCCTTTAGTATAAATTTGTTCTCAGGCATTTGTACCTAAGATATTTCTTGTAGAAGTCACCTATTATTTCTGCAGATTTTAAAATAGTGTGTGATTTTTAGTTACATTTTATTATAGAGATGTTTTATTATAGAAATTCAATACCTTGACTCCAGCCAGTACTCACCACTCATAGAGGTGACAAGCTAACCCTCAGGCCTGTCATCAGATCAAGCAGGTAGACCATGGAAGATCAAGAGGCACAGCAGTTAGCATCATCAAAGAGCTCTTGCAGATTCCCCCTCAGTTTACAGCTGTCTTTGGATGCCTCCTTTCCAATTGACTGTGAGCAACCATATTTGAAATGCTGAGATGAATCTCACACAGAGTTGAGGAACTACAGAACTTACTCATTTATCTTTTAAATTACACCATTCATTTTTCAATGCTAAGACTAAAAGATGAGATCTGATCATGTGTAAAACAAAAATTGCTGCAGTCTGCACAGATGCATGCATTGTCATTGAGTAATGAGCAGATTGCAGCATTAGGTAGGGAATGGAGCCAGCTGGTTGGAAGGTGTTGCCTGCTCCATAGAGTACAGCTGTCTCAAGGTACAAGCTGTCTCAGCAGCCCTGCTGCCCACTGGGGAAGTCCCTGCCTACTGAAGACCTATGGGTCCCCTACAGTACCTGTCACAGCAGAGGTAAAGGGACGGCTAGGTATCCTAGGGATGTATCCACCCCTTTATTTGGACAAAGGATGGTTTGTAGTTTGTATAGTGAATATGGATTATAGTTAAACTAAGGCTAATTCATTTCTGTTTCATGATGTCACAAGTTTTTCTTAGTTTCTGTTTTGTGATTGACACTAGCCACAGTTGTGCCTGACCTAACCCCTGAGCTCTCACACTAGGGGTGTTAGAAATGGTGCTTTTCTAAGAAGTGGCTGGTCCATTGTGCCCTTTTCCAGATAGCCCTGGCTCTGCAGCACTGTCACTTGCTTAACATTGCGCACAGAGACCTCAAGCCTGAAAATCTGCTTTTCAAGGATAACTCTTTGGTGAGAAAAATTGCTTTTCCTTGTTTGATGTTGTCACTTTGTCTTGTTTTGTCCCCTCCCCCCCTTCACAGGGTCTGTATATCCCAGGCTGGCCTTGAACTTGCTATGTAGCTGAAGATGACATTGAACAGATCCTCCTGCCTCTCCCTCTTTTTGAGTTCATGGGGTTTTTTGAGTGGTGCATGGGGTTCCAGGCATGCACCACCACATTCGGTTTACTATGTGACTGGAAATGGAACCCAGGACTCCATGCATAGTGGCAAGCACTCTGCCAACTGAGGCCCATCCCCAGGCCCGTTTTATTTTTGTCACACGATCTTGCTTTGTAGACCAGACTAGCCTGGACCCCCATCAAGACTCGGTTGGCCTAAAATTTTGCCTTTGCTTCCTGAGTGCTGGGATTGCAGGTGTGTGCCTCCCTACTGCTGCACTGAGCCTACTGCTGCATAGGAAGTGTTAGGCCATGGTGCTTCCAACACTTTAGTTTCACCCTTGTTTCCTTATAAGGGGCTCAGAACTGTTGCCACACCCATGACATGGTGGATCTGGATGTTACAGATGTATTTGTGAGACTTATGAATTTGGATATTATCTGGAGGGCCTTTGGGGAGAGGCAGGAATTGGCATGCTGTTTATTATATGGTCCTTGAAAGTTAAGTTTGAGTTGCTGTTAGCCCTGATAGGCTGTTTTCCCTGTATTGCTGTCCCCTGCCCCATATCTACTAGTCAGCTGCTCTGGTTGCTGTGGAGGTTGTGGCTAATGTTCAGACTGAGGCAGTGCCCTGGGTGGAGGAGAGGGGCTGGGAGCTAAGACACTGAATTCAGAGCTGTGCTCACCAGTGAAAATCAGGGCTGACTGATTCCTTCTTCTGTGTTTTAGACTTTGATAGCTGATTTTTATGTGTATGGGTGTTTTGCCTGCAGGCTCATGCAGTGCCTGTGGAGGCCACAGGAGGGCAGTGGGTGCTGGGACCCAAAGAGCAGGAAGCGCTTATAAGGGGTGAGCGCTTGCAGTGCCCACACTAAGAACAGCTCTCAGACACCCTTCCCAGCCAGGCCTCAGAGTCAGGGTGACCCTCCTGATTCAGAGTCCACAGTGCTGGGGTTACAAGCAAGAGCCACCACACCTGGCTTCCGTGAATGTTTACCGACAACTATGCAGTATTGACCCATTTGTTTTCTTTCAGGACGCCCCTGTGAAGTTATGTGACTTTGGGTTTGCTAAAGTTGACCAAGGTGATTTGATGACACCCCAGTTTACCCCGTACTATGTAGCACCTCAGGTAAACATGCTTTCTTCCTTATGATGTATTACCAAATTGCCTGTAGCTGCTCTCCCCATGCCCCCTTCATTTTTTTCTGAGACAGGGTTTCTCTGTGTAGCCTTGGCTGTCCTGGACCTGACTATGTAGACCAGGCTGGCCTTGAACTCACAGAGATCCACCTGCCTCTGCCTACCCAAGTGCTGGGATTACAGGCGTGCACCACCATGCCCGGCTACAGGGCAGATGTTCTTAAGAGAGGTCAGAATCCAGTTCCAGGTGCTGTGGAGCAGAATGGTGCTGCAGGGTATCGTACTCAGAGTGGTACAGAACTTTTAGTTAAGATTGTGCCGTGGTTGACTGCTGGTAACCGAAACAGTAGGAAACCAAAAAAAAAAAGAAAAGAAAAGAGACCAGGGCTGTATGGTGGCTTCGTGTGTAAAGGTGCTGCCAGCAAACGTCACAAACTGAGTTGTTCTGTGACCTCCACCTGTGCTACTGCACACGTGCATATCATATACAATAAACAAACATGTAAGTTAGACATAGAAAGGAGATCACTCCATTCCTGCTTGGGTATAGTTTCTGTTTTAACAAACGTGCTCCATATCAGTCCTCTGCCTGGGTCGTGTTACTCTTGCCTAGGGCTGGAGTTCACGTCCCAACACCCAGATGATACAGTGGCTCATGGATGCCTTTACGCCAGCTCAGAGGAGCTGATGCCCTCTTTTGGCATCCTCAGACACCCATGCATATTTACACATACATGTATATAAATCAAAATGAATTTCAGGAAACCAGTGAGATTCTGACGTGGGCCTTTCTAAAGATAATCTGAGCCTCTTAGGTGATCTGTAGGTTTTGCAGAGGGCCCTGAAATTATCTTGTCAAAGAGGCCTAAGGGGACAGTGGAGCCCATGCTTGAGGCTCACGCTTGGTATCTGCCATCACCAGCAGCATGAGTGTGGTAGTGAAGATGGCACTAGGAGTGTAGGTGTGGTGAGCAGCACCATTCTGAAGTCAGTGCACGCTTTGCCAGTCTTGTCCTCCTGGGCCATTGTGCTGTGCACTGGCGGAGTGAGCATTTTGGTTAATGACAGCTCGTGGGTAGCAGTAGCTACTTTCTTGAGAGCATTTGTCACTCAGATCCATGTGACTGTTATACTCTGATGTCCATCTGCCCCGTGTGGGTATGCTTTTGCATAGGCATCAGGTTGTCCTCAGGGACAAGCCAGTGGTCACACAGACACCCCCCCCCCCCCATACCGTGGGCAGAAGAGACAAATCTCTTTAGGGGTAAAGATAAGAGGATTTGAACCTTCATGTTCTTGGTCTAGCTGGGCATGTCCTTAACAGACTGAAACATTACTAGTTGTAAGAAGGAAATTTGAAAGTGTTTTTTTTGTTTGGTATTTTAGACAGGGTTTTTCTGTATAGCCCTGGCTGTCCTGGAACTCATTTTGTAGATCAAGCTAGTCCCAAACTCAGCGTGATCTACCTACCTATGTGCTGGGAGTAAAGGACTGAATCACCATCAGCTGGCAAAAGGGTTTTGTTTCCATTTCACTATATTCTGAAGCATGTCCTCACTGTGTATGCCAGGTTGTCACCGTGTGCCGCATGCCTGGTTGAAAGTGTGCTATTGACATTGAGTTAGTATTTGATTGCTGATCTCCAGTTCATCGGTAGCCTGCTGTTCCAGGCGGTGGGACTTGGAGGTGTGCTTTCCAGTTAGCAGTCTCATTTGTCCACCTCTTTGCTAGGTACTAGAAGCACAGAGGAGGCACCAGAAGGAGAAGTCCGGCATCATACCTACCTCGCCAACACCCTACACCTACAACAAGGTAGGGAAGAGGCTGTTGCGCCTTCGCGCTGTGGGCTTGGTGGCTCTTTAGTGAGATGTTCATGAAGCAGCAGCAGCTGGAATGTAGAAGGTGACTTGGAACCCAGGTTTCTAATGTGACGAGATAGGAAGGAACGTTTCCATTAGTTCAGTGCCTGCGACAGGAGCTAAGGGCCATGGCCACCTTACAGTCTACTTTCATTTTAGACGGAAGGGTCATTTTTGAGAGGGTTCCAGAGCCTTCTGATCATTTATAGTACGATTCTTTTGTACTTCATAAAATGTCAGTTTGAAAAAGATAAACAGGTAAATTTTTAAAAAGCAACTGCCTAATTTGAACAATGTCTTCTATGCATAGCAAGTGCTTGTTTGTGTGGTGCTTTCTGTATTTATAGCCATGTATCAAACCTGCTATCTGGAGCCCATGATGCCAGTGTCCCTGGATCCTGGAGTTGCTGAGTAGGTTTAAAGTGTGCTTGCTCTTTGGGCACTTGCAACTAGCTATGGGTGACAGGAGCCTGGGAGAGCGGCTGTGGGTCCACATGCTCCAGCTGTGTGGCTTCCTTTTAGGCAACTAAGCTGCATTTTGTTCAAAATAAGGTCTCTCCATGTAGCCCTGGCTGTCCTGGAACTTGCTCTGTAGACCAGGCTGGTGTGGAACTCAGACCACTGCCCGATTTAAGCTGCACTCTTGACAGGAGCATTCAGAGGATTTGTGGAGGGTGCAGGCCATTTGCCTAGACAAAAAGTGGCAGGTTTAATAAGATAACCTCTCTCAAGGGATAGAGAACACCAGATATCTTCTTGTTTCACATGCATAATGCATAGGCATGTGCACCCCATACACATGTATGCACAAACGTACATTATCTAAGGTTCCGCAGAGCACTGCGACGCAGAGTTCTCACTGGAGGAATCTTTGGCCTCCTGTACACTTGGCTGATGGAGCTTGTATTCTTGGTGTGCAGCCTGCAGAACAGCTAACTGCAGGCCCAGACCCACCTGAGCCAGTGCAAGTGTTGACAATGGCTTCAGCCTGCCTGCCTGTGTAGCCCCTCACCGTGGCTCACGAGTTATTTCAGAGATGTGTTGTGAAATGTGAACCACGCCTTCATGTTTTTTTAAGACATATTTGTTCATGTATTTTATATATATGAGTACTCTGTCTTCCATGCACAGCAGAAGGAGGAATCATATCCCGTTACAGATGGTTGTGAGCTACCATGTGGGTGCTAGGAATCGAACTCAGGACCTCGGGAAGAGCAGCCAGTGTTCTTAATCCCGCTGAGCCATCTCTCCAGCCCTGCCTTCATGTCTTATACCTGACTCTACTGAGGAGTGTTGAGAGAGGAATTTCCTGTTTGGGACTTTTAGCTGGGGAACTTTCTGCTCATTTTGGTTTGAGGCTCTTCTCTGATAGGATGATTGTTTTCTGTTTTGCTTTCAGAGCTGTGACTTGTGGTCCCTAGGGGTGATCATTTATGTGATGCTGTGCGGCTATCCTCCTTTTTACTCCAAACACCACAGTCGGACTATCCCAAAGGATATGCGGAGAAAGATCATGACAGGAAGTTTCGAGTTCCCGGAAGAAGAGTGGAGCCAGATCTCAGAGATGGCCAAAGACGTTGTGAGGAAGTGAGTCCCTGGGCTGCCGAAAGGGTGGCTAGGGAGCCTGGAGCTGGGAATGCAGGGTAAAGAGAAGTCCTTTGTTCTGGAAGGCATCTTCATGTTTTACTATCTCTAGAGCCTGAGTTAAGAGTTCTTATTTAGCCAGGCATGGTGGTGCACACCTTTAATCCCAGCACTCTGGAGGCAGAGGCAGTTGGATCTCTTGAGTTCAAGACCAGCCTGGGCAACAGAATGAGTTCCAGGATAGTAAGGACTACATAAATCCTATCTTGAAAAACCAAAACAACCAAAAACAACCTTATTTATGCTTTAGTAAAATTGGAACTCTCCCTTTTCTGTATAGCTGTAGATTTTTGTCCCGAGATTGTGAACCTAGGGGCGCCCTGTAGTCAGTCTCCATGAGAATTAAATTCAGGACCCTATGTTGAGCCTTTCTACACTTCCCTCCTCTTCTTTTTGTCATCTTGTTTTGTGTGGGTTTTATTTTTGCTTTCATATAGGATCTTATAGCTCTGGCTGGCCTAGAATTCACTGTGTAATTGAGGCTGGCCTGAGACTTGTGGCAACCTCCTGCCTTAATCTCTTGAGTGTTGGGATTACAGGTGTGGCATTATGCCCAGTGTGTGTCTCTCTTATAGATGAGTCAGCCATCAGGGATGGATCTGGTGCTAAGACTTTCTTTCTCTCCCCTCCCCCCCCTTTTTTAAATACAGGCCTTTTCTGTGTAGCCTTGACTGTCCTGGACTTGCTTTATATACCAGGCTGGCCTCCAACTCACCACGATCCGCCTCCTCTTCCTTCCTGAGTGCTGGGATTACAGATGTGCACCACCATTCCCAGCAATGCTAAGACTTTAACTGGGGTTCCATGCATTTCAGAAGACAGCACATTTGGCCTTTTTGTTCTTCATATACTGTTGAAGTGTGTGGTGCTAGTCTCAGAACACACACCCAGCATTCTCTGCCAAATGGTTTCTCTGACAGTCACTAAGCTGGGACTCAGGAAGAATTAGGAATAGCGGGGCTGGAATGATGGCTCAGAGGATAAGAACACTGGTTGGCCACTCTTCCAAAGGTCCTGAGTTCAATTCCCAGCAACCACATGGCTTACAACCATCTATAATGAGATCTGGTGCCCTCTTCTGACTTTAATGAATCTTTAAAAGAAAAAAGAATTAGGAATAGCAGGGCTACAGGGATAGCTCAGTGGTTAAGAGCACTGGTTGTTCTTCCAGAGCTAGCTAGGTCCCCAGCACCCATATGGTGGCCCATAACTGCTGTAACTTCAATTCCATGGGGCTTAGTGCCCTCTTCTGATCTTCTTGGGCACTGCACATGTGCACAGAGATGCATGCAGGCAGACGCTCATACATGAAATAAAAATCTTAAAAAGAGATAAGGATAGTAACTATGCAAGAAAGAGTTGACACAGCCCTTTTGTAGCAAGAATATGAAAGAAAGAGTTGAACTTGACTATTTCCTCTGCCGGACTGTGTGGAATGCATAGCTGTTTCTTCATATGTTTTGAGAGGAGGGGAAGGATAGAAGGGGCTGTGCTGGGAACTATCCTTATTGACAGCACTCCCTTCTAAAAGTGAACTTGTGCCAGGCATGTTAATGCCTGCCTGTGATTCCAACACTTAGAAGGCTGAGGCAGGAGAATCATGAATTCAAGGCTACAGGCACCCTATATCAAACAAGAAATTTAAAAAATGGTGCTGGAGACATGGCTCAGCAGTTAAGAGCACTTGACTGCTCTTCTAGAGGTCCTATGAGTTCAATTCCCAGGAACTACGTGGTTGCTCACAACTGTCTATAATGGCAACTGATGCCATCTTCTGGTGTGCCTGAAGACAGCACTCATATACAAAATATGTGAATTAATCTTAAAAAAAAAAAAAAAAAAAAGTGAGGTGGTAGTTTATGGAGTGTGTGCTATTAAAGAGGGACTATTTCCTAAAATATGTAAAGGACTTTTTATTATGGTGAGAGCAGGATTTAATTCCTACCAGTCTTCATATAGTGCTTCTAGGCTGTATGCCAGCTCTGTAGAAAACCTGGGTGTCTCTGCCCTTTGGAGTATAGGTGTCCTTGCATATAGAGGTCACAGGTCAATCTTGAGTATCATTTTTCAGGCCTCCATCCACATTTTCTCCCTCCTCCTCTGCTCTTTTCTTGAGATAAAGATCTCTTGCCTGTCTAGGGCTCACAAGGGATGTAGGCTTGTCCTGACTCAGACATTTGGGATGAAGGGATATGTAATTAGAAGAGGTGGTTTTACAGAGAGCCCAGGAGTATGTTGGGGTAAATGGATGTGAGGGCATGAAGATGACCAAAACACAGCTGGTTCCAAAGAAAGTGTTGGGCTTAGGGGAAAGTGCCATGTCATGGCTGGTCTTAAGTTATTGACTGTGGAATAAAGAAAGGTTTGGGTTACCATCTGATGGGATCTAGTTTAATCTTAGATAAAAGCCTCCTGTTTCACAATGCATGACTCTCAGCTAATTTACAGGCACTATCAGCCAACAGTAGTTGAAGCATTGTCCCAGAAACCTCAGTGTGGGGGTTAAATACAGCAGGACCTATAGTCATGTTGGTTTTACCTACTGAATCCTGTGATATGTTCTCAAGTATTTTTGAATAAAATTTGTGGTACCACTTTTAATCAACTGCTCAGAAGACCTTAAGCCAAAACATACCCATAAGTACTACATGGGACTAGCATCCATCTTGCCTTGCTGTTAGAAGCCCCAGGCCTATAGGAGTTGGTAGAAAGTCAAAAGAATCCAGAGCTATTTGGAGCCAGCCCAAGACTTTGCTTTGTTTCTTTAGGGGACATTATGCATTTTGTGTCTGTTGGTCTGTTTTCTTTGCAGGCTCCTAAAGGTCAAACCAGAGGAAAGACTCACCATTGAGGGCGTGTTGGATCACCCCTGGCTCAACTCGACGGAGGCCCTAGATAATGTGCTACCCTCTGCTCAGCTGATGATGGATAAGGTCAGTGATGTTTTTTTTGTTTTGTTTTGTTTTTTCCTTTTGAGACAGGATTTCTCTGTGTAGCCCTGCTGTCCTGGAACTCACTCTGTAGACTAGGCTGGCCTCAAAATCACAGAGATCTGCCTGCCTCTGCCTCTCCTGTGCTAGGGTTACAGGTGTGCGACACCACCACCCGGCAAACCATTTTTTCCCCTTTTTCTAGTGATGCTTAGTTTGTTGTGTGAAAAGACAGTGTGAAAAGGGGAAGTTACCATGGCTGAATATGGGGCTTAAAGGAAACAGTGACAGGCACATGCTACTTCTCGTTTCCTGAAAAATCAGGATCCAAGGGAAGGTCCAAAGGAATATCCTTAACACCTTCAATGTGGCTTATCTGGCACAGAGCATATAAGATTCTCTCTGCAAGGTGTTGAGATCAGGCAGGTTGTGAAGGCAAACAAAACAAATTTATTTTAGAAACCAGATCTTCACCCAAGAAGAAGGCAGAGACCCTCACACTTACTGGCTAGCTTCTATATTGAGGAATAGGAAGATTTATTTTTTTTTATTTATCTGTGTGCCATGTGCAGGCAGGTGCCTGTGGAGGCCAGAAAAGGTTTCAGATCTCCTTAAACTGGAGTTATGGGTGGTTGTGAGCTGCCTGATATGAGGCAAACAGTGTTTGCTTATAACCGCTGAGCCATCTCTCTAGCACTGTTAGTGATTCTTGCTGAAATTTTTGTTCCCATTGCCAAGGAAGAAGGTGAGTTGGTTTGTGGCCTTTGTGTGGTTTGCTGTTCCTGGGCCTCACTGATCCTGGGGGAGAACCCTCTGTCAGATGAGAATGTGTGTGTCATCAGCACACTTTATGCTTTGCCTTTGTCTTAGGTTGCATTTTTGAATGCTAAGTAACAAATGTGGACACAAGCTGACAAAGCCAGGCACAATGGCACACCACACCCAACACTCACTTGGGGGTCTTAGGTTGGCAAATCATGTATGTCCAAGATGAACATGGGTAACATACCAAAAAAAAAAAAAAAGTCCAGAAGGCAGAATTAACTGTTAGTAGTGTTTACACGCAGGCAGTGGTTGCAGGGATCCAGCAGGCTCATGCTGAGCAACTGGCAAACATGAGGATCCAGGACCTCAAAGTCAGCCTCAAGCCCCTGCACTCTGTGAACAACCCCATTCTAAGGAAAAGGAAGCTACTGGGGTGAGTACCAACTTTAGACAGCCTTAGAAGTTGACACACTCTGTAGTTACTTTTGTGAACATTCTGGTATCTTTTTTTTGTTGTTGTTTGTTTGTTTTTTGTTTTTCAAGACAAGTTTTCTCTGTATAACAAGCCCTGGCCGTCCTGGACTGGCTTTTTGTAGACCAGGCTGGCCTTTAACTCAGGAAGATGGGCCTGCCTCTACCTTCCAAATGCTGGGATCAAAGGCGTGAGCCACCATGCCTGCCCCTTGTTCTGGTATCTTGAGTTTAGAGCTGGGTTCTGAGGTCTCACCTTGTTATTATCTTTCCCCATACTTGTAAAGCACCAAGCCAAAGGATGGTATTTATATACACGACCATGAGAATGGAGCTGAGGATTCAAATGTTGCCTTGGAAAAGCTTCGAGATGTCATTGCCCAGTGTATCCTCCCCCAGGCTGGTAAAGGTCATGCCACTTATTAACGTTCTGCATATGTGTGTGCTTGTGTGCATGAGCATACATGGGTGTGCATGTGAAGAGGAGTGGATTAGTCTGTGATGCTCTGTTTATAGCTTAAACTAAATGAGTCCACACCAACTAGGAAACAGTGCCAGTGCAGGCACACAGCAAGTCATGTGTGTCTGCTTTTCTGTGAAGTTCTAGTTTCAGCTTAACTGCAGGTGCCAGCTGGGGCATGTGATTTTGTGTTATCTGTTTCACAATGAAAGCACAAAGTAGAGGGTGAAGAATGGAAATGTGAACAGCGTCCAGGGATAGGTTAGAGGCCGTCAACACCATTTCCAGAATCTTTACAATGCCCCACTATGTATCTGTGAGTACAAAAATAACACCGCACTAGCTCACGACTAGCCTAGCTGTGTCCCTGGCTTTATGCTGGCCTTTAAAGGAGAGATCTCCCATCCCAAGGCCTTCCTCATCAGAGGACTGTGATGTGAGGGGCTGTTCTTTGCTAATGAATGAGATGCTTCATTATTAGATGGGGTTAGAAAAGGTTGGATTAACCGTTCTCTCTAAATCCTATGCCATTTAAGATCACCCAGAGGAACTAGAGAAATGGTTCAGAGGTTAAGAGCACTGGCTGCTCTTCCAGAGGTCCTGAAGATTCCCAGCAACCACATGATGGCTCACAACCATCTGTAATGGAATCTTCTGCTATGCATGAAGACAGAACACTCATACACATGTAATACACAAATAACTAAGTCTTTTGTTGTTGGTTTTTAAAGAGAGCACTTAGAGAACATGCCTGAGTATTTTGAAGCAAGAGGTGTGCTTAGGAAAACGGCAGCACATACAGCCTTGTTTTTCTTCCTCACTTGGCCAGATGTTTTTGCTCAGAAACTTCTCCCACATTTCTCTTGACTCCCAGCACTCACCCTTGCGGTTGTTAGAGCCTGTGTGTGAAGAGCTTGGTGATAAGAGGGTCACCTGGGAGCACCAGGACTGCAGGGAGCCAGTGACTACCAAGTTATACATGTTGTATCATAATTTCTCACCTAGTTGGACAGCATGTCTTTTCATCTTTAACACAAAAATCCCATGATGCTACAGAAGAAGTGAAACTTCTCTCCATTCTTATTCATAGGAGAGAATGAAGACGAGAAGCTGAATGAGGTGATGCAGGAAGCCTGGAAGTACAACCGGGAGTGCAAGCTCCTGAGGGACGCCCTGCAGAGCTTCAGCTGGAATGGTAGGACTGCCTGTGCTGAGACACAGACGGTCTCTGAGGCCAGAGCGCAGTGAGGGTGGTGCATGTAGAGAAGGGGGCACCCCACTTTAACTGCCCGGGCATGTTTGCTCTCTACTCTCTATACTCGGTTTCCAAAGTGCAAGTGCAGTATATGTCACAGTGAACACTGCAGAGCTCTGCCGTATTTCCTGGGGGGGGGGGGGGGGGAGACAAAACAAAGCCAGATCCATTCCCCACATTCCTGGGCTGTTCACCACATGATAAGGAACAACACACACTGCCAGAGGGGGTGCCAGAAAGTTCCCCACAATTATTTGTTTTGGAATCATTTGATTGAACTCAGTCAATTGCCAGATCTGCCAGTGGGTAAATTTCTTCCCCAGAACAAGGTAGAGAGGTGCCTTTTCCTGCCCTGCTGTTAGCAGCCTGGGTGAGACTATGAGTCCAGCTGAGTGGGCCATCAGAGCAGCTCCAGTGTGCTGAGGGAAGGGAGGGAGGAAAAGAAGGAAGGGGCACTTGCTTTGACATTGTTTTCTGAATGTGCCTGGCCTGAAACCCTGGAGAGATTTCACTTCACAAGGAGCTTGTTCTAGAATGTGAACCGTGGTGGGTGTGAAGCAGTCTGGACAGTGTGGACTGTGAGTGTGCGGAGTGCACCCTGCTCTGTACCAACACCAGTCATCCACTCAGAGGCACTTCCAACCCTGAGTCTTAGCTCTGTAGTCTATAGGTTTTGTGTATATGAGTGTTTGTCTGCATGTATATCTCGTTAGCACATGTGTGCTATTGTCTGCACAGGTCAAAATAGGAAGTCAGAGTACCTGGAACTGAAATTATGGGTAGTTGTGAGCCATGTGGTTGCTGAAAACTAATGCTGGGTCCTCTGCAAGAACAGCAAGTGCTCTTAACCACTGAGCCATTCTCCTGCCCCGAGTTTTGTATTTTATATAAACAAAATCAGGTCTCTGTTTTTTCCTCTGGCTTTTTAGTCAGCATTGTTTTGTTAGTTTCACCCATGCTGTCATGAATACTGTCCACTCACTGCTGCGTGGACATTTAGTTTGTTTCTAGGTTCTAATAAACAAGGAAAGGGCTGTTGTGACCACTCTTCTGTGTCTTGATGAACAGCTTGTGAAATAATTTTTACCTTTTATTAATCAGTTTGTGTATTTACCTGGGTTAGCCAGCTTTTGACAGCAGTAGCATGAGTTCAAGAATGCTCTTTAGTGGTGCTTTCCGACTCTGACATCTGCAGCGGCACCATCTTTGCCGCTGTTTATATCTGTTCTGATGGTTTTGTGGTGTTACTGCAGTGTGGGTTTGGATGGCTTTAGGCTGGTGACGCTGTGCATCTCAGATGCTTCTGACCACTTACCTAAGTCCCTTTGTGACATGCCTGTCTTAATTTTTGGCCTGTCTTTCTAGTCAGTGTGGCTTTCTTATTACATGCTTAGGAGTTTTTATATGCTTGGGTATGAGTCCTTTGTCAGACATACATACACTATCTCTGATTTGTGAAGTTGCTCGGTGCTCAGTTACTGCTTGAAAACGACTGTTGCGGCGGATTCCAGGTGCTAAGCTGTCCTGCTGACCTTGTTCTTTCTTGCCTTTCAGGTCGTGGATTCACAGATAAAGTAGACCGACTAAAGCTGGCAGAGGCTGTGAAGCAGGTGATCGAGGAGCAGACCACTCCCCACGAGCCCCAATAGTAACAGCTTCAAACTATTTTTAACAATTGGAAAAATTATTCCTTAATGTAAAAAGTAATTTTTATGTAAATTAATAAATCATACTTTCATTTCATTTTTGTTTAAGTTGCTATATAGATTTAGGTTCAGAGTTCCTAACTGTTAATTGTTTTTGTTTTTAAGAAGCTCAATTTCTATACGTATTAGAAACAGGATGGTTGAGTCATATTATGAGATGAGACTGTCAAGAAAGATGGATTTATCTGTGGTAAAGTATTACAGCCCTTTGCCAGAGGCAGGTAAAGAAGCCATGCCAGGCTTTCTGCCCACTAAACTGTTGCATCAAGGACTGTGGAGCCTCATTTCCTTCACTCCCTGCATGTTGGCTAGGTTAGTTCTAGCGCCAACCTGATTTTGTGACTCAAGCATTGTCAACTATCTGGCACAGCTCTCAGGATGTACACTCCTTGTCCTGCAGTCACTCTGGTAGAAAAGCAGGAGCATGGCCGTGGCTTCTCTTGTCCCTGATCACCTAGGGGAAAAAAAAGGCATTTCCTTTCTGTCATGCTTGTCAAGGTGTTGGTGTATTTCCTCAGCCCACTGGGACTTGCTTTGGAGCGTATTCCTCTTTCCCCTCCCTGGCACCTGCTCTGTGTTCTCCTTCACAGCATCATGACAGTCACTATCTTCCCCTGCTCCTCTGACATCTTTCTTGCAGGATGTTGCTGAGAAACAGCATCAGAAAGGATCCAGTTTTATTCGGTTGTTTTTTCTTATGGCTGACCACAGTGGGGGTTCTGCCTAGATTAGTGCCATCCTCTCAGGCTGTGTTTATCTTTTTCAGTATCCTTTATGCTCAGGAAATAGAATTATGGTCCAGAAAATGGCCTTTATCTTTGTTATCTGTCGTGTATATAGCCAGTTCCTCTGCTAGTGGTGATTTTTATTTTTTTAGAGTCGTTTTTGATGATTGATTGCCTTTTTTGGCACCCAGAGGAGGTAACAGACACTTCGATTACAGGTAGGGCAAGTCCTCTGTCTCAGTTACTCAATTTTTGTCTCATCCTCCTCAGTCAGAAGGGTTCCAAAGGACTTTGTCCTTGTGTAGCTCCTGGAGCGTCCTCACTGTTCTTGAGGAAAGTACCACTGACCGGGGGTGTGTGATAAACATCGCTGTGTCCTTGAAGACTGCAGTGGGAGGAAAGGTTCATTACTCTGAGGTGACTGGAACTGTTGTGACAAGTGGGAGCACTTTTCAGAATAGCAAGATCTCAGAGTCAGGCATCGGAGAAAAAGAATTTTAAGCAAAATTTCTGGCCAGAAAAAAATGTAGCTGAGAGTTGCATTAAGGGCCTGTTGTTTTCAGTGAAATCCTGTCCCACAGATCATCAGGGAGGCTACACTTGCTCTCTTATGTCCACAAACCTCTGGCGCTCCTGTCCCGGGGTTGGAACCCAGTGTTCTCTTGGGGACAGAGTTAGTTGTTAGTCTAACTAACAGCAGTTCAGAGGAACTGCTGACCCATGTCTCTACCTGCCACTCATCTTTGAAATTTACCATTTGGTTTTCTTCTGAAAGCTTAGGGTGTTTTTGCCTTCAGTGTGGTGGATTGTAGGCATGACTGGGAAGAGCTTCTATCTTGATGGCTGCTTTTCATCTTGCTTAACTGGGTTTTGGCAGCTTTCAGCTGAATTCATCTGGCCCATAATGAAATCCATACCTACCTTTGTCTAGATAAGAACTGTTGGAACTAGGTGTGGTGGCACACTCCTTTAATCCCAGCAGAGGCAGAGGCAGAGGCAGGTGGATCAGAGTTTGAGGCCAGTCTGGTCCACAAGTCGAGTCAAGGACAGCAAAGGCTACACAGAGAAACCCTGTCTCAAAAACAAAAGTAACTATGTTGGATGTCTGTAAAAATCCTGGAGATGTCCCACCTATTGTCACTCAAAAGTAGGTCTACCCCTAGACAAAATTCCCCCAAACAATAATTTGACACTCTAGAGCAGTTTTGTTTGTATATTCCTAGACCAGTAGTAAAGTATGTTTTAACATGAGTCAGTTTTGCTAATGATACAAACTCTACTCCTAGCTGGAAATTCAACCTTATATTCCTGGTAATTTACTGCCTGCCTGCTACTGATGTCTGTGGAAACATACAAACAGCTCCAGTCAAGCAGTAGGCTGTTGTCTCCAGTTTGCACATGTTATCAGTTAAGACCACTGCCTGTCACACTCTCCATCTTCCCACACTTCTTCGGCTCACTGGAGAGCAGTGTCTTTATGACTCACGTACCGTATGGCCTCTCAGAATTTTGTTTGTTTATTGTTTATTTTGGTTTTTTGAGGCTGGGTTTCTCTGTGTATAGCCCTGACTGTCCTGGAATTTGTCCTGTTGACCAGGCTGTCCTCAAACACAGAGAACCATCTACCTCTGCCTCTGGAGTGCTCAATTTAAAGGTGTCTACTACCTCCAACTGGTGGAAGGTTTTTGAAACATCGCCTTAAGGGTTGCTTTGTTTGTTTTTTTGAGACAGGGTTTCTTTTTAACAGAGCCCTGGCTGTCCTGGACTTGCTTTGTAGACCAGGCTGTCCTGGAACTCAGCCTAGCATTAACAGTGTACACCACCACACGTGGCTGCAAGGATTGTTTTTGGTTTTGTTTTGTTTTTTTTTTTTCAGAGTTAAGTTCTTCGCACACGTGAGAAAGAACAAGTTGAAAGAACAGAATGTTTTGTTGGTAAAGAAGTCAAACAACTTGGTCTTGTGTGTCAGTAGAAATTGTGTTTCAGCTTGAGAACTGGAAAATAGAATATTTCCTTTTAATTACATGTTTTCACATTTTAAAAAGTGGCCTGTGCTTCCATTATTGATTCTTGGTTTGTCTTACAACTTAACCTGACCTTTCTCTTGTTTGTTAGTCATCACACAGAAAAGCATGGAGCAGCTGTGGTCATTTCCAGAACAGGTACTTAGATGAGATTTGAGTCACAGAGTCGAGAAGATGGCCAGTTCTCAAGCGCATTTGTGAGGCCAGAGTATGCAGTTTCTGCTAAATCCTGATGCCATCTGATAGGAACCAAGCATCATTGGTAAACATCATGAACTGATAATACTCTCTTGATGATACCTCTTTTCTTTTTGTATCCCTGGATGGCTCAGAACTCATACAGAAGCCGTGTGGTCCTTGAACGTGAACCTCCTGTTTCTGCCTCCCTCCTGAGTGTTGAGATTGCAGGCATACACCACCTTTCTGAATCAAGCAGGGCGTCTCTCCAATTTTAAGTGTTACCTGAGCTGGGCAGTGGTGGCACACGCCTGTAATCCCAGCACTTGGGAGGCAGAGGCAGGTGGATCTCTGAATTAGAGGCCAGCCTGGTCTACAAAAAGAGTTCAGGATGGCCAAGGCTACACAGAGAAACCCTGTCTTGAAAAACAAAACAAATCCAACATTACCTGAAGTTACAGCTTGTATGCTTTATGTTGTAAATACTTGGCTTGTAATATAAAATTACTTTTATGCCATGTAGAAGATGTAGAGTTTTATTTTAGTTAATCTTAGAATATGCATGAGAATGAAGAAATGGGGGAAGGAATGTACACATAACTTCTGTTTTCCTTCTCAATATGTAGTGCTAAAAAATACACCAGGAACTTTAACATGAAACTAAAGCCTCAGATTTACACAAACAGTGTAAGCCAGACAAGTGTGGGACTTTAAGAGTTCTTCCAGAGCCCATTTTCATTTTCCTCTCGTTGAAATCCAAGTCGCCAATCTCTTTTGCTATTTTATTTTATGGTGAGACCGTTGGGAGAACTAAAATTTAGGCTCTAATATTTTTCTGTGATAAAATATATTTATCATTTAACATGCTGGGTGGTGATGTTGCACACCTGTAATCCCAACACACAGGAGGCAGAGGCAGGCAGATCTCTATGAGTTTGAGGCCAGCCTAATCTGCAAAGTGAGTTCAGGACAGCCAATGCTACACAGAGACACACTGTCTTGAAAAAACAAACCAAAAAAAAAAAAAGAAAAAGAAAAAGAAAGAAAGAAAGAAAAAGATCATTTAACACTTATGCCTTAAAGAAGATTCGTGTTTAAAGCAGATAAATTCAGAATTCATTTGGTACACATAAGGACGAGGGAAAGTAGAACATCCAAATTGTGTGTGTGTGTGTGTGTATGTATGTATGTATGTGTATGCGCGCGTGCGTACGTACTATGAAAGGAATGAAGCAGTCATGGACAAGAGAACTAGCCATCAGTACAGCAAAACCACCATAGAATGAGGAAAAGAGGGAGGGCAAAAGAGAACTCTTAATTGTTCAGAGAACCCAGAGAACCTCTGTCCCCTCCCCCGCAGCCCTGCCAGAATGTTGGCTCTGAAAGAATGAGCAGGTTAACAGATGTCAGGTGTCCATGGCCTCCGGAGGATAAGAGATGATCTGATTTATAGAACTGGCTGAGTCATTGTAGTTACACGGCTCATCTCCATGAACATCAAAGAAAGCAACACTTGAAAGGAGTCCCTGTGCTGTACATAACCACCAAGCCAGGAGAAAAGAAAGAACGGAGACATAGCATGAAGGCTGCAGGGTTCAAGCTGGGCAGCACCCAGTAAGGGACAGGCACAAGTCTGGATTCCTGAGTCTGGGAAAATCTGCTTCTCAGAGAGAGCTGCCACTGATGGACATAGATCCTACATCATCAACAACTTGTTTGCGCCATGTCAGTGGCAGCATCAGTGAGAGGGATTGCCTCCATTCTTTCTGTTCTACAGATCAGGCAAATCGCCTTAAAGGAAGCTAAGATAACATTTTGTATTTGGGCTGCTCAGCAGTGGAACTTGGGTCAGAGACCAGTGCCAGGACAGCCATCTGTCAGTGTAGCGATCCTGGTGCTATTGATTTTTCTCCCGAGCACATTCTGTGACACAGGCTCTGTATATAATTCTTCCTATGAAACAGTCATCCCCAAGAGACTGCCGGGCAAGGGGGCCGAAGATCCCGAAGAGAAGGTGTCCTACATGCTGTTGATGCAGGGCCAGGAGCAGCTGCTTCATCTGAAGGTGAAGGGACACTACTCCATGAAGAACTTCCCAGTCTACAGTTACCACAGTGGCATCCTGGGGCAAGAAATGCCTCTCGTGTCACAGGACTGCCACTATGAGGGCTACATGGAAGGAGTTCCAGGCTCCTTTGTGTCTGTCAACATCTGCTCAGGCCTCAGGGGCGTCCTGATTAAGGAGGGGACGTCCTATGTCATTGAGCCCATGCTCTCTTCCAAAAAGTATGAACACACCCTCTATGCCGTGGCACATCAGCCTCAGGTCTCCTGCAGCGTCACTCCCAGAGACAGCCCAGGGGACATGAGCCAGCAACAGAGGAGCAGGGAGCCTGATAACCTACAGGCGCTGTCGGACTTGTGGTCACACACCAAGTACGTGGAGCTGTTTGTCGTGGTCAACCACCAGCGGTTCCAGATGTGGGGCAGTAACGTCAAGGAGACGGTGCGGGCAGTAGTGGACATCATTGCTCTGGCCAACAGCTTCACCAGGGGCATAAACACAGAGGTGGTGCTGGTGGGTGTGGAGATCTGGACGGAGGGGGACCTGATAGAGGTGCCTGGGGACCTGCAGGCTACGCTCGGGAATTTCAACCGCTGGAGACAGGAGAAGCTTAGGGACCGGGTCAGGCACGATGTTGCACACTTGATCGTTGGGCATCACCCAGGAGAGAACGAGGGCCTGGCCTTTCTCAATGGTGCCTGTTCAGGTGGGTTTGCGGCAGCTGTGGAGGCCTTCCATCATGAAGATGTGCTCCTGTTTGCGGCCCTCATGGCCCACGAGCTCGGGCACAACCTGGGTATCCAGCACGACCACCCGGCCTGCACCTGTGACCCTAAGCACTTCTGCCTCATGCACGAGAAGATCAGTAAGGACAGTGGCTTCAGCAACTGCAGCTCTGACCACTTCTACCGTTTCCTCCACGACCACAGAGGGTCCTGCCTGCTTGATGAGCCCTGGCACCAAAGCCGCAAGCGCAGAGACGCCAGTTGTGGAGATGGTGTGGTGGAGGAACCGGAAGAGTGTGACTGTGGTCCTCACTGTGAGCATCACCCGTGCTGTGAATCAACGTGCACGCTGAGGGAAGGTGCGGAGTGTAGCGAGGGGCTCTGTTGCTACAAATGCACTTTCAGGAAAAGGGGGGCCTTGTGTCGTCCTGTTGAGGATGTGTGTGACCTTCCCGAGTACTGCGATGGCAAAAGCCAGCACTGTCCTGCAAACAGCTACCAGCAGGATGGCACACGGTGTGACAGGGTTTATTTCTGCTCTGGAGGTTGGTGTAGGAACCCCGACAAGCAGTGCACAAAGATATATGGGTACCCTGCAAGATCTGCCCCTGAAGACTGCTACATTGCAATGAACACCAAAGGGAACCGGTTTGGAAACTGCGGCCATCCCCCCTCTCCTAACTTAGGATATGAAACATGTACCGATGAGGATGTATTTTGTGGGAAACTGGTATGTACAGATGTTAGATACTTGCCACTGGTCAAACCCCAACACACTCTTCTCCAGGTTTCTTACGGAGATGACTGGTGCTGGAGCATGGATGCCTATGACATGACTGATATCCCTGATTATGGAGATGTGCAGACTGGCACCTTCTGTGCCCCAAACAAAGTCTGTGTGGAGTACATCTGCACTGATCACGTGGTGTTCCAGTATGACTGCAAACCACAGGAAATGTGCCATGGGCACGGAGTGTGCAACAATTTCAAGCACTGCCACTGTGATGCTGGTTTTGCCCCTCCTGACTGCAGCAGCCCAGGCAATGGGGGGAGTGTGGACAGTGGGCCTGTTGGTAAGCCAGCTGAGCGAAACTTGAGTTTATTTCCAGTTGTCGACAGGAGGATAGAGGACGAAGATGTAAACCTGAAAGTGGTGGTACTTGTGGTCCCTATATTTCTTGTCCTTTTACTGTGTTGTCTAATGCTGATCGCCTACCTCTGGTCTGAAGTACAGTTTTCAGAGGAGTCATCATCAGAGGCGGATACAGAGGAGGAAATTAAACGTTGAGCTCTTGGGGCTCCTCCCCCCTCCGTGAAGTTTTATTTCAGATCTTTTTATAGATCATTGCTGTCGATCGATGTCTCGTATTTGCAGGACAGTTTTGACTAAATGGTTTTCAGGGCCTGCTCATCTTGCACTGTTTCATGTGGTGTGTTATCTATACTGTGTGCATCTCAGTAACAACTGGCATTATATCACGAGTGTTTTTATGGTATCTCAATGTTCTAACTTGTCCTGTCAGCTATGGTTCATAAAATAGAGGTGATTTTAAATAAATATAAATAATAAAGCCTTTTTTTTCCCCTTCAGAGGAAGCAACACTCCAGACTGGTCATCCTTGTACTTTGCAATCTTTCCGGGTTTTTTTTTTTTTGGTGTGTGTGTGTGTGTGTGTGTGTGTGTGTGTGTGTGTGTGTGTAAGCAGTCCTGGCTGTCTGTCCTAGAACTCACTTCGTAGACTAGGCTGGCCTTGAACTCACAGAGTTCCACCTACCTCTGTCTCGAAGGTGCTGACGTTACCAGCATTGTGCTGCCGTTACCACCCAGCAGGATTTTTAGTTTTCAGGTAATCGTTGACAAGTCTAGATCTCAGGTACCCAGTAAGTACTTGGGCACAAGAACCAGGCTCAGCACAGAGCTCTGAGCTGTGCTGAGCTTGTATTTGCAGCATTTACTTTTTTCATTTGATTTCTCAGTTTTTCTATTGAATTTGATTTTTTAAATGATTTATTTACTTTTATTTTGTATGTATGACTATTTGCCTGCATGTATGTATGTACACAAGCTATGTGCCTAGTGGCTAAGGAGGTCAGAAGAGAGCGTTTGGTCCCTGTGGAAATGGAGTCACCAACAGTTGTGAGCTGTCAGATGAGTGCTGGGAACTGACCCTGGGTCCTCTGCAAGGGCAGCTGGTTCTCTAACCACTAAGTGTTTGTCCCTCCACCTCTAGCCTGGCAGCTGATGTTCTGTGGGCCGCCAGTGTCAGCACATGCCAGGTCTACAGTGTGGAGGCTGTTTCCTCTGAGGCACAGAACTAGTACAAAACAGTTCCTTCGGTGTGATCAGTGGTTTGATGCCACAGTCACTGTTGTAATCTCCCCAGCTCCCAGGAGACAGGCAGTAAGCAAATAGAGGGTACTGCACCCACAGTTTAACCCAGCAGCCTACATCCTGTGTCCCCAGAGCCTTTCCTTTCAGTAAAAAGGAAGAACATTTGCTAAGCCTGTGATTGTCTAGACCGTTCCAGTACATGCTGAGAACTATCAAGAACTCCCTGCACTCTGTGGCCATTATAGAAGTACCCTGACACTCACCATTAGCTGTGGATCTAGGTCAATGGCAGTGTTCTTACTGTGCACATGTAATGCCCAAAAATTAGTCCCCAGGCAAGTATGGGGCCTCATGCCTGTAATTTCAACACTAGGAAGACTGAGGCAGGAGAATTGGCACCAATGCCAGGCCAGCCTGGACTATAGAGTAAACTCTTACTATAAAAAATGCACTTCATTGTATACTTAGAGAACTGTATCAACTCTTGCTCTGTGTTGCTGAGTGGAAGATGCTGGCACTCAGGACAACAGTCCCTAGACAGCAGAAGCGAGGTCTAGCAGCAGTTTCAGCCTAGGAGCTGGAATGACCCTTTCACCCTTAGGGGTTGCCTAAGATCATCTGCATATCATATATCTACATTATGATTCATAACAGTAGCAACAAAGGAGTTGGAGGTCACCACAACATGAACTGATTACAGGGTCACAGCATTAGGAAGGTTCAGAAGCACTGCTCGGGAAATATTGTAATGCCTTAAGATATGGCAACACCTTACAAAGCTAAAAGCATCTACTGACAGAGCAGACACAGTGAGAGCAACACAGCTCAGGATGTAGACTCAATGGCTTGCCCTCATCAGCTCAAGCAGCAGCAGCCATTTCTGGGGCAGAGATGAGTGTAGCCAGTAGACACAGCTGTGCTCAGTATGAGGTGACAGCTAAACACACTGTGGGTGTGTCCACTAGGCAGTAACGTGACGAGGTCTGCAATCAGTAGACACTAACCAGTGATGTGTTTTGAAAGCTGTGGGGTTGGTTGATACTTCTTTGCTAGAGAAGAGACATCATCTATGTACATGTTGCCGGACTGAAGATTCTGGGAAAGTGTCAGAGAGCATCCAGTGTGGGAGAGCATCATTTTGGAAACCATGAGAAAGGTCTTTCCAGAAGAGTTTTACTGCAGAAATCCAGTCCACCTCCACATCCAGAACAGTGTCTCTTCAGCATCCCCAAACCCTCCAGAGCTGTACAGTTCAGCATCAACACCCACATGGCCATCACAAAGGCCATGAATTGCTGTCTACTTCCACCATGTGGTCTGCAGCCAGTGGTCCCTGTGGCTCTTAAATGAAGTCAGATTACTAATAACTTTTTTTAATTTATTAAATTTTTGTTTGTCTTCATTTCTAGGGACAAGATCTCATATGCATCCCTGGCTATCCTGGAACTCATTGTGTAGACCAGGCTGTCCTCAGACTAACTTGAGATCCACCTGCCTCTGCCTCCCAAATTCCAGGACTAAAGGAGTGTGCCACCATGCCAGGCTTGCTTTTGATTTTTGAGACAGGGTCCCATGTAACCTAGGCTTACCTCAAATTTACAATGGAGATGAGACTGGCTGATCTCCAGGGATGAAGTGGCAGGTGAATCTCTGTGAGTTCAAGGCCAGCCTGGTCTACAAAGTGAGTCCAGGACAGCAAAGTCTACACAGAGAAACCCTGTCTCAAAAAACCAAACCAAACTAAAACAACAAAGACCCTAGGACTGCTGATACCATGTGTCTCTCCAGACGCCCAGTGTTATTTGTGCTTGCCCTCAAGGTGGTACCAAGTGCACCCTGCAGTTCCAGAAACAATGGCCGGCGCATCTGCTATGTACGTGTTGCTGAAAGGAAGATTAAAAGAGGCACCAACTGCACACATCTTGTGGGCAGTAGGGAAGGTTTTCCTGACACTACCTGCTCATGAAAATAAACTCCAGTCCCAGTCAAGCCTGTCTCTGGGGACGAGAAGGTTCCTATCTGCATCCTGTAGCTCCAGGATCATGAATACCAGTGACACAAGCCTTAGTCTTGGTGATCTATGCCCTGTAGCTCCAAGACTTCAAATACTAAAGTTCTGCACTCTGGTACTAATTGTACTCAATCAGAGGACTTCGGGGAGACCTCCTCTTCAGAACTGAGACCCAGACTTTGATGCCAAAACCCTTAGCGTGTAAGATTTTCACTTGGGCCTAGCCAGCAGCTTCAGCACTAGAAACCCCATAACCATCTGTAATCATCCCCAAATGACTTTAAGAAGGTCCCCTTTGTCACACAAAAGCTCAACTCTGCATGCAGTTCCTGCCACTACGTACTCCAAATCACCTGTGTCCTTCCCATGGAAACTAGAGAGGATTCTCCCTTTCCTGTGGCTTTGGCCTGACTGCCAGAGCAACCTGCCTCTCTTGCACTCTTCCTAGGATAGGGAGCAGGCCTGCTTCACATATTTTTGGCCCACCTATTTTGGACCATGCCTGTTTGTCTTATCTCTGCTTGCCCTAAACAAACTGTCTACATCTGGTACTACTAAGGTGGCTATCACCATGATACCAAGTGCCCTCTATAGTCAATTGTGGAGCCAGAGGTCACTAAGCTGCATAACTGTAAGAGCTGCTGCTCTCCCCAGGCCATCACCCACTTCTAACATTGAACAAAGCTGAAGCTTTGTCTTTTTTTTTTTTTTAAAGGTAGGGTTTTTCTATGTAGAGCTGGCTGTTCTGGACTCATTTTGTAGACTAGGCTGGCCTCTAACTCACAGAGAGCCACCTGCCTCAGCCTCTCTGAGGCTGGGATTAAAGGTGTGCACCACCACACCTGGCTAGAGTCAAGGAAGGTTTAAACAATTTTTTATTTAGTTTTATTTTATGCACACTGGTGTTTGACTGCATGTGAGGGTGTCGGGGCCCCTGGAAAAGGAGTTACAGATAGTTGTAAGCTGCCATGTGGGTGCTAGGAATTGAACTCAGGTCCTCTGGAAGAGCAGTCAGTGCTCCTAACCGCTGAGCTATCTCTCCAGCCCTAGAATCAACATTTTTTTTTAAGTCACTGATAGCCAAAGACCCTGATAACCTCTATCTCATACACACCAGAGGAGGTTGTCATATCATGCACACGCATCAGTGTGAGGACATGAGTGCCAAGGAAGGAACAGTCTCACTGACGCAGCAGTAGAGAAGTGGGACTTGGGTCCTGAGTTCGATCGCTCTCGTAATAAAGCTCTCTTGCTATGGCACCAAGTTGTCTCCTGGTGGTCTCTGAGGGTCCCGTGAACCTGGCATTACATCTGGGGGCTCGTCCACTCGGGATGCCTTAGGATCTCTAAGACTCCCAACCCGGAGAGCTTTAATCCCGCAAGAAATGTCTATTGTGTTGTCCATCTGCTTTAAGTGTTTGCCTTTACTTTTTGTTCCTTGTTTTGAAAAGCCTCGAGATGCCTGTAGAAGTGGCCAGACGTGGATAAGACAGACCTATCAGGCTGCTGGGGGTCAAAAAGACATTTTTGTCAGTTTCTGCCTCCCTGGAACTCCTGGGATAGGGGAACCTGAGTGAGGATTGGTTTTCGTAGCCTTTCTGGAACTTCTGTGGCAGAGAAGTCCGGGAAAAGCCAGGTTTTTGGTTTTACTTCATTTCTGTATATGATTGTCTTTTTCTTGGTGTTGTACCTGGAGTTACTGTTTTATTTTTGTGATTAATTGCTTGTGGCTTGTGCTTTGAAGCCATGGCTCTTCTTGCTTTAGTGATTTTAGATATTAGCCCAGGTATAGGCTGTAAGTTGTTGCCTTTAGTTTCATTTTTGTCTGAGACGGCCGGTTCTTTTTGTGTTTGTGTGATTTACTGTTTGTTGCAATTGTCCAAAAAAAAAAAAAAAAAAAAAAAGAAATTGTCCGTTTCATTTCTTTGTTTTCTTTTTGATGAAAAGACTGACTGATGATATGGGACTGACTTGGTTCTGACTTATTTTAGGGAAGTTAAGACTAGAGCTCAGGATCTTTCAGTTGATGTGAGGAAAGGAAAAATGATGACTTTTTTGCAGCTCAGAATAGCCCATCTTCAATGTGGGCTGGTTGCCAGAAGGAACTTTCCACCTTCCCACCATCCTTGTGGTAAGAAATAGAATCTTTTAGAAAGCATGTGGGCACCCAGACCAAGTGCCCTATATTGTAGTTTGAAAGGGTTCTGATGATTCATCCACCTC